AAGAAGATACCCATTGATTTCGAGTCAGAGGAATTAACCTTCGTATCCTGGACCAAAGTCTTTCTACACCTTCTGAATCAGTAAGACCCATACCCGACTTCATGCGTGGGTTGAAAATCAATTGGCAGACCCATTGATGACCAAATGCATGCATCACATTCAGAGAGAATGATACACGAGATCGCAGATGGGCAGAAAGGATAGGGAACTTCAGAAAATAGTCAGCATTGTTATGGACTCTGTAGCGGGGGTGCGGCAGGGGGTGCAAGAGGGGGTGCAGAAGGGGGTGCGGCGGGGGGTGCGGCGGGGGTCGCCGCGGGGTCGCAGCGGGTTAAGATATGTGATGGTGGCGGAGAAAGCAGTCCATGAATGGAAATGCACGCACCAGATTGTTACTCCGGTCAAGAACACAACCAATATCATAGCATTGTGTAATGGTCGCATTGGATGGCAGCAGTGAAGCCACCTTCTCCAAGAGCGCAATTATGTAGTGCTGCTGCTCTCCTGGTGTGTCTATGTCACACATGAACAGGACTTGCGAATGACGACATGTCAGTGCAAAGATGCCAGTGGAGTCATAGCGCTTTGGGTCCCCCTTTTGTTTGTTCTCATTTGCAGCAGTCCATGACTCTCCACAGGCCTCCACAATATCAGCAGAAATTGGAAACTCTTTTAGGGGCTTCGGAGATTTCCTTGCCAAAAGCACAGTTTCTTTGACCTTGTGAACCTCTTCAGGTGTCAAGAAGTACTCCTGACTGAACAAAGACGGTCCGTTGCCAGCAGCGCGGAGATGGCGATAGTTGAAGCAACCATCAGCACCAAACTGTACATCCCCACCACTGAGCAAAACATGTCAGTCACTGCTGATCAGGGTTTGAACGAAAATCGAACATAGCAAGTGGACGGCCCCATTCCTTCAGGGAGAAGCACGAAGGACACCGACTTTGTAGGACTCTATTTGCAGATCCAGGAATCAGTGAAAACTGGTCATCAGATTCAATGGTGCGGTTGGCAGGGATGAACGAGGCGGGGGTTGCGGCGGGGGGTGCAGCGGGGGGTGCAGCGGGGGGTGCGGCGGGGGGTGCAGCGGGGGGTGCGGCGGGGGGTGCGGCGGGGGGTGCCACAGGATGCCCAGCAGGGGGTGCAGCGGGGGGTGCATCTGACATGGACGCCTGGCAAGGTCCTGTCATCGAGACTGATGGAGATGACTCCGCATGTTCGGGGGAACTTTTGTAGATGGAAGCTATGGAATCCGTGGAAGATAATCTGGTGTTGATTTGACTATATTCCATGGCCAAGGCATCATTGACCATTTTTCGGATATGCCGCTGGATGCTGCTGTACACATGCACAGCCTGGGAGAGGGCTTGTCGTAGAGGATCAGTAGCATGTTCGCCATCAAACTAGGGTGTATATCAGATGTTTATTGCGAAAAGCAGGTGGAAAGAAGCAACTTACGGTCTTGGACATGAGCTCGAATCCTCTGGTGTTATAGAGGGTTGTCAGGGCATTGGTGAATGCTTGAATCGCAATGCAGGAGCGTTCAAATAACGCTTGGTATATTTCCAATGTATTCACTGCAACAGCAATCTGTGGCTTGCTAGGTGAGGTGGCGAGAGCACCATGTTCCAGTAGGACAGTGGCAGGTGAAACACAAGAACATGCTTGCACATCGATATGTTGAAAATCTGGTAATTTGTCAGACAAGATCTGGCAAGAAGAAATTCGAAACATACATGCAATGTGGAGACATAGAACCCGAATTTTATTTTGGGTACAGGAAGGGTTGTCACAGTTTTGATAGATGGTTGCAGTAAGAGATGTGGGTGGGCATGCAAAAGATGATTTCCGAAATGCCAGGAGAGAGAGGGCAAGGTCAGGAATGAGATGGATCCAGACAGAAGAGGCTTGTGTAGCACGTGGTTTCCTTTGAAGACCATGGGGCCTTGCAAGAATCTCTGGAATGTATGGCGGCAGTCCAGCCCCCACACCCAACCCCGCGGCAGACCCCGCGGCGGGCCCCGCAGCAGACCCCGCGGCGGGCCCCGCGGCAGCCCCTGCATCTGACGCCATGTCTTCCCACACATCTTCGCCCGTCATATTGGTTTCATCCACTTCCATTTGATCTTTAAGCATTGTATTTTGCTCTTTCCCGAGTTCAGAGGCCTGTGCCACCGATTCTGGTGGCTCTGGGTCAAGCAGGGAATTCATCTTTTGAGCAAGACGATTTGCACGAGCGTTACGGCCCATGGGGATTGTCAGCACGTTTCGGAGCTTGTGCCGTCCCTTTACTGGACTGGTGGGTCGAAGGCTTTGCCCTGAAAGTCTTACTGTCTGCTTTCTTGGTGGTGGCTGTTTGGGGGGCATCCTGGGATAAAGAGCCAAGGAGGACCTTCATGAGAAAATACATGAGTGATTTGTCAAAGAAGGCGGCATCACCGTAGCATGAGTGGTGGTTAAACATGGAACTGATCAACCGCACGGGTGACCCCGCAAAATGATGGGAACATTCCCATCATTACCGCAGTGCGGCGGGCATTTTGCGCTCAGCGCTTCACTTTCTTAATTATCGAAGCTAGACACAATTGGGATAGCATCGGAATTTTTTCCGGCAGCCATTTGGTTTTTTTTTGCGCCCAGTCACGTGACCGTTTTGGCCGCCATCCGCTGCATTGTGCGCCATCGTGGAGAGCATGCAAAAACCCGACCAAATGGTGGCAAAATGGCCGGGATGAAGTCACGTGAATATGCGCCCACCACCCGCCGTGGCATGCGGGAGGTCGGTAATGACCCCGCCCGCACCCCCGCCAGCCCCCGCCAGCGTTTTAAAATTTTTGGTTCCATCTGTCACGTGCTTTTTTCGCCCGCCATCCCGCCCGCTCGGTGCTTCCACGTGATTGATTTTTTTTTCCCGCCCAGCTACCCGCTCTTACAGATGTAGACAAGTCACATGTATATATTTTCGTTCACCCCCCCCTGCTGACCCCCGCATATGCCCCCGCCCCCAAATGGACCAAATCCCCCCCGCGGGCCCCGCAGGGGGGTACCTTTTAGGTACCCTCAGAGCTACGTCTGAGGGTACCCAGGAGGACCCCCGCGGGGGTGCAACCGGGTGATGGCGGTGGTAACTGAGGTGATCTCGAGGCGGCGCAGCTTGTGCCGGCCTCATTACGGAGGTAGGAGAGGACGAAGAGGATTTTTGTCTTGTCCAGCAAGAACTCTGATCGATAGGCACCGATGTCAGTGGTGCACACGTCCACAAAGCCCAGGTACTTGGATTTGTCGCCATCAAAGTAGGGAGGATTGGCGGCAAGGGTGATGCGGTGATGTCCTGACATGGTACGAGCAGGTGTGGTAGGTGGGGGTGAGGGTGGTTGTTCGGAGGGCAGCTCGTCAAGGTCCGGGATCTCGTCTTCAGGCGGCGGAAGGGCGAGATAGGGGTTGGAGGGCCCGGGTTGATTTTGGTGCGCCAGATCAGGTGACGAGAATCAGAACGAAATGATGAATTCGTGTGCTGTACAAGCACTCAAGGAGGGGTTCTTTTGCTAGCAAAAAGATCCCGGGCCTAGCTCTTCACGTGCCCGATGATCCCGAGGTGCGTTTTCCCGAAGGTCTCCGCAGCACTCCTTGTAGCTACCGTAAGGCTTGGGTTGGGCTCAACGTTACCCGTGGCCTGGTGCTGTTTGCTCGATATGAACCCTTCACTGCGATCGCAGGGAACGACTAGATGATTCGGTAAAAAGGTGAGTTGGTTGATAAGGTTAAGAGGATATAGCGGGCGTAAGGGTTAAGAGGATATAGCGGGCGTAGCAGTGAGGGATGCAGTGGTAAGAGGTATCAGGTAGGAGGGTAGGAGGGGAGTCTTCAAATTATGTGATATAGCTCCAATAACTCATAATTGTGACAATCAACCCAAAAACAAAGTCGAAAAGAGAAGTGAATTCGAAGACTGGAGAATACAACCAAGTAGCTACTGTATTTATACCCAAATCCAGTCTGAGTCATATCTACAACTAATGAGTCATAAGGCTATGTACCGCATGGAGCACTGGTCATGGGTTGTAGTAGAACCTTCTGGAGCATATGTCGCGCAGCCTTGAATCGATAAAGATAACCCCTGGAACCCCTAGCCCGGTCCGTCTGATGCCATGATCCGTGATAAGATAAGTCGTGTCAAGATAAGATAAGATCGTCGATGATAAGATGAAAAAGTGGTTGAACTATGACAACCATCCCCAGACACAGCCTCCAAACTCCTGGCAAAATGAAGGATAATTATGCTGCATGCTATGACCACAGCGAGAATAGATAGATAAAAATATGATGCAATGCACCCCTAACCCTGCTCCTGTGGTTGACCCCACAGCGGGCCCTGCAGCACCCCCTGTGGCACCCCCCGCAGCAGACCCTGCCAATTATGCGCCCATTGTCTGCCACAGCATGCAATGGATCAAGCAACATCTCCAAAATCATGCCGAATGGTGCACAAAAGGTGCCCCAAAAGTCACGTGATAATGAGCCCACTGCCCGCCATGGTGTGCAGGGGGGCAGTAGCGCCCCTGCCAACCCCCGCCAACCCCTGCTAGCCATTTTTGATAATTTTCATGCAGTGCATCACGTGATTTTTTTACCCCACCATCAGCCGCCATCCCGCCCATTGGATGTGTCATGTGATTTTTTTTTTTTGCGCCCACCTGCCCGCTCCCAATGATAAATCACATGATATGTACAGACCCCCCCCTGCTGACCCCCGCATATGCCCCTGCCCCAAATGGACCATCCCGTTGCACAATGTATTGTGCCCATGCCGTCTTCTATAATTTCGTGCCAAGGTCAAGATTCAAAATGTCTGCTGAAGCTAAGGTTTCGAGCCTTCTTTGGAGTGCTGAATGCTTGAACGAAAACACGATGAGACTGCAATTGAGTCGGATCAGATCGCATCGGATCGATGATGGGACATTTAATCCCGGTCGATCGGTGTCAATCCCTTACCCGTGCTCCTGCATCAGCCACTGCGCCCTTGGCTTATATTCTTACTGTTATTCGTGCGAATCATAATCCTTGAACGCTGGGCAGCGTATGTAACCCGTGCTGGCACAGCAGCAATGCCATATCTCGATTTCCGCGCCATGGACGGCGTAGGACCGCACAGCCTGGGTGGGATCCAATGGTGAATGACTCCCGGTGCGGTGAAAATCCACCGCCGCGCGTCTTTTGAAGCAATCCTGACCCGCTCCCGTGAAAGCTGTATACTCCAAGCCAGTCTCAGTGTCACGCAGTCGGGAAGCGACGGTGAATGACCATGTTTCGGACGGGAGAGTGATGAACATGCGATACTTGGGCGATGGACCCATCATCGGATCATCCGTGATATCGGGACGCCACCTGGGCCTCAATTTTTGGGAGAAATGCAGGACTATAAGAGTCCGGTCCTGAACCGTGTGCGGTATTAGACCCACCCCCTCTTACTCCTGCCACCTCACAAACACCATAATGGTTACCACTCGCGTGCTCGTCTTCGCTGCTGTTGCGTTTTTCGCATCTAGAGTCGTGACAGCAGCCCCAACTTCGAGCTTCAACATCCCAGACGGTTCGTGCTCCCACCATCACCTATGACCGCACACGATCTCAACACGAACGCACATCGTTCAGGTACCAGAACTCCTTCTCTTACCCCAGTTCTGCCCGCTGCAACATCGCACGTGGTCCGACAACTTACCACCGCTTTTTGGGGACACGTCGAGGAGCCTAAGAGAGGAGGTACATGGCTGCTGCACAGGCGTTCTTCAGACCTGTCCATCTGAAATCTTTTTTCAGACTACGTCCAGTTGACTAGCTCCAAGTCTGAGACATAAAGCTGAACACTAGTCTGGTCCCCATATATCACGAGGCGTTTAGGTCTTGGCATTTATATTTTTTCTGGAGGAGCAGGGCACTTGAATCAGTAGAGTAAACATAATCCATCGGCACTATATATTGTGCTCAAAAACCGATGCAAATTTGCAAAGAGCGTGGACGACGTCTCATGGCGGCAAAAGAAAACTACTGTTCAAAATTATACTGCTCTGCGATCAAATCGACATGGAGAACGGACGGAGGATTTCGTCATGTTTGATGACCTTCCGATTTCAACTCTGCAGACGGCGTCTTATTGTCCATAAATCAGCTTGGCCTCCACATCAAAGTCCCTGTCCCGATCAGGGTTCGATATCTTACCGAATCACGCATTTTGGTTGACCGCGTCTGAGCATCGGAGCAAAGTCGGACCGGAAGGTTGTCACGTGTGTTGTGAACATGCGGATCTAATCTTGTCCAATCTAATCTCAGGTCGACTTCTTTCCATGCACTAAAACCCATCTGTCCACAGACATGCTTCCTTGCCAGATCTGGAAAAACTTCTACGGTTTCTGAACAAAATCTCCTCCAACGAACTCCCATCACAGAATCCAGCCAAAATGCATCTCCCGATCCGGCACCTTGACCGAACTCCGGGGGGAAAAGGTGCCCCCTTCGCGCTGGGGCCCGGGCATCACGAACATATCCAGCGACCATCATTCCTAATTCGGGAGATCCGATGAACTGAAAATCAGAAAGAAAAATGGGAAGAATGTCATGAATTCCTGAAGCGTTGCGGTAGGAAACTTGCGCATCTGTGCGGTACCGATGCCTGATCGAACAAGTGACTGGGACAATCCTTTTTACAGACTTTCTGAGTATACTTCTACGGTACAATTCCGGTGTAGTGTCGTGTCAAGCTGATAGTTTGAAATCTTAGCTGCCGAGTCTCGCAGCGACCATCGATCGTCCAGGTCTGTGTTTCCATGTCTTGATCCTCAGCTGACTGCGTAGTCATTCTCCACGGCTGATGCGGCCCAGGGCGCTCCTCTCCCTTGTCGGATTTGAGACTTTTGGGGGCTTTTGCGCAGCGCAGCTCAAGATATCAACGACTCGGTCATTATGCAAACAAGAATCTGCTGACGATCCTTTGGCCAATCCAACAAATTTGGTGATATCTCGAAGTTCTCTCTGAGCGGGGTCAGTCTCCGTTTTGACCTCACGTGTGACGTGTGCGCTATCCAGAAGCTCATCCATGTGTAACGAGCGTTAGAACAGATCATATTTCACCCGAAGAGGTTTCCACACTGGTCATTCATATCGATGTGACGAATGAGAGTAACAATACGTTCAAGTCAAGCCGCGCACGGCCGGGCTGACGCGTCTCCGGTGTTCGTCTCCGGCTCGCCGCGGGCATGAGTCCGGGCCAATGACCGAGAGCCGTATGGGACGCTGACTCCAAGACCAGCGTGGTGCGGTGCGGCGGAAGAAGCAGTCGGACTCCGCGCGCGCCGATGCATTTTCACGGGACAGAGGTTGACGCTGATGGAGTTGATCTACTTCGAGCACTGACTCATAGACACATCACCTACATCTGGACAATCTCGCGGCATAATTGAGATTCCAGATCGGCCCTGGCTAGATCGCCAAGCTGTACATCCTGCGAGTCATTGAGTTCGATCGCACCAACGTAAGCAAGGAGGTCGCCGGTGGAAGCAAACCCGGACGAGCTGCTCGCGGATAGCGGTTCGCGTTCATTCGCGACCGAATCGAATCATCATGATCCCGCTTTTTCTTCTCTCCATCCTTGCAAACGCAGCGCGGAGCGGGAATGAAGCGGCGTCGCTGCGCCGCTTGATAGACGAACATGCCAACATTGCATCAGCTCGAGGTGCTTGATGTCATTGCAGTTTACGAATCTGCCGGTTCCAGACTTTGGAGATCTTACATCATGCAGATGCTTCGGATGAACGGCTTGGACGCTATCGACTTTGATCATCGAACGCATACTTAATCCAACGGACGAGAGATCGGTGTAAAACACAAACAATCTGCGACCGATTTCCAGTCTGAAAGACCATCAGAGATCTTGGAGTTGATCGGTTGGGAAGAAAAGTGGACTGTACGGTCATATGTATGCGCCAGGCCATGAAGTAGTGGGGTAGAGACTCCTTCCTTGTGACTTAACCCGTCACGGTGCTAGCTTCGAAAATGGCACGTGTCAGCAATATCACGTGAAGAGCTACATCCTCCAAATCCGCTATTCTCATTTCCCTCGGCGTGAGAGACCCACACAGGAACTCAAAAGATCTAAAGATAATCCACAGTCCGTCAAGTGGAATTTTTTGTCGCACAGTTGGTCAAGTTATCTGTTGTCCCTCCACTGAGACACTAGGCCCGATTTGGAAACCCCATCAATGTCTTACCAACCCACCTGGCACCTGCCTTCACCAACGACCGCCGCCATGCCTCCGGACGAAGCCACGCTCAGCACCAGCCTCGACACGGTGCGATCTATTCACACCCGGTTCCCGCCGTCCCCCTCGCGCTCACGCCCCCCGAACCGCTCGCGCTCACCATCGCCGTCGCTCCCACCCAGCCCATCGCTCTCGGCAGCCTCGGGCTCCTCTGTATCGTCCTTCCCCTCCGTTGCCAGCTCGTTCTTCTTCAGCTCAGCGGCCGTGAGCCCAGGGCCTGCCCATGCGGAGGAGGACGAGACGCTCATCATCCCGGAGCTCGTGCTGCCGCAACCGCAGCCACGGGTGCGGGTGTCAGCATCCGATGTCGTGGCTCGGCTGTTCGTGGTGGGAGACTACCGTGCCGTTGCGCGGAGCCTCAATGGCCCCGATGGCGGGGTGGAAGATGGAGGAGTGGATGAGGGCGGTTCGGGTGGTGTGCACATCCTGCGAGTGCGCGTAGGTGAAGATGTCGAAGACGATTGGTCTCGGACCGGCGGCGACGGAACGCGAGACTCTCCCGGCCCCGCACACGTACCGATGGTCGAGGTTTACGGTGTCGACTCTATGCATGAGGTACGTGTCCGGTATCCCGCCGTGAGCGTCTTGTGCATGCCTTGACCATACCGACCTACTCGCAGCTCGACCTGGTCGCTCTAGAACACCGCATCCTCGCGCCATTCTATGTCGTCTCGGATATTCTCGCCCCTCCCGTGCTGTCGGGCGACAAGTCCGTGCTGCAGGATATCCTCGCGGGCCCGTCGGTGCCGTTGTATACAGCACTGATCGTCACGTATCCGGAGGGAGACTTACCTGCGCCTATCGACCCACACGTTCCGCTCTCGTATCTGATCCCGTCGCTGTCTGCACACCGCCCGCCGAATGAGGACATCACCGGATTCATCCCCGCCACCCTACGATCGCTGATCCCCGTGGTACCTCTGGCCCTACCATCTCCTTCGCCGCCATCCTTACAGGATTCCTCTGCCGTGCAGTCACCATCTGTAGCCCACCATCTCATCCTTGAGCCGGAGGACTCGGTGCTTGGGGACGACCCGGATGGTGACGTCATCACTCGGACGACTCCCCAGTCGTCCGCGGTCCTTGCCCTAGATCCACCGCGGGCGCTGCTGTCCCCTGCGACGCTGAGATCGCTCAGAAGGGAAGCAGCCGGGCTATTCTTGGCGTGGTGGAGACGGATCGGGAGGCAAGCTGAGCCCTCCCCGGCCGAAGTGTCCCCGGTCCGTGCGATACCTCCGGATGATGATGCACTCGCGCTCAGCCTCACCGGGTCGGCGCATTCCGGTAGTGCCCCACTCCCCTCCCCAGCGCACATGAGACGGGGGACGATCACCCGCCGCCGGCGCGTGAAGCTCACGCGGACGCCGTCCTCCTCACCCCCGACCTCGCCCGCGCACTTCGTGCCCAAGTCGTTCTACCCGCACGCGGATCCGCTGCACCTGCCGTCGCTGTTTGCCCTCGCGCGAGGCGTGTGCGGCGCCTGGGCTGCGCAGGAATGGAGCAACCTCGGCGTCGCGGTCTTCGCTGGGCTGGGCTTTGTCGCCGGCTTGTTCGTTGGTGTGTGGGCTGTGTCCGCTGGGGCGGCAACGGCAGCCCGACCGGGTATCTCACCGCTCCGCTGATTGAGAGACTTTTGCACCTCTACTTCCTCGCGCATCCCTCGAGGACATGGCTGAAAGCCGACTTTACGATCTCACCCTTTCACGACTTTCATAGATTATCGCTGCATCTTTCATTTCTGCCTTTTGTGTATTAGCAATCCCTGAGCATTCATCATGTACATTTCTATTGCTGTCCGTATCTTTGGATCATCATCGGTTTTCTTCACGAGGTGTTTGCACTGCGAATGAATTGGGCGATAGCACAATCTTATCTAAACAGCAGTGCCAGAGATGAGTGACCAGTTTCGGTCATGACCGCCCAACGGCTCAAATAGGCAATTGATCCCGAACATGATGAGCGCGTCGTACTACGTTCAAGATGGGGCCAAATAAGCTGTGCTTGTGTGACATCCGAAAATCAATGAGAGCCTATTTCGACTTCGACCTTGATCCTTTCCCTCGGGGGTGTCCACAGGTCCACTCTCATCCTATTTCAACGAAGATTTGCATGCTTCCGAGGAGTAAACATCGTTTTTGGTCCTTTCAGTTCATATTGGGCCGAACTCCTGATTGGTGCTGGATCCACCTGGCCGTGCGGGCCCAGCCTCATCACGTGTGCTCTGTCCTCCTCTCCCGCGTCGCACGTCAACAATCTAACCAGTTCGGCTGCACATATTTCGTTGCGCAAGGAAAAAGGCCAGGGGCCCGAGTTTGCTGTCATGAAAAACCCTTCCGACACAGGAGGGATGTGGACCCTGCGCGACCGCAGGGCACGTGGTTGGCGACACCAACCTTCCATCCGGGCCAGCGGTCAAAGCGTCACCCACCCACGATCCCTACTCCCCCAGCCTTCGCGCCATCACCCGTGCGTTCATTTCCACGCAAGGCCCTGCGATCTCGCAGTCCCCGTCAATCTAATCTGGGGTTCATCCTTGACCCGTGCGGCGCACCCGGGCCCCGGGGAGTGCGTCCTGAGCGAGGGAACGCTCGCGCGAACCGTGATTGCTATCTCCACGCGTCCACGTTTCCGCTGTGTGTGTCGCCGGTCAGGTTTCTGCGGGTAAAGGTCTGAGATCCCAACGCAACGTAATCAAGAGAACGCGGTTTGTGGGTGCGGTACGCATCGATGGACGGTCTCTTGTGTGCGGTACGAATCTTGTGGTGGGTCCATGTTCCGACTTCGCAGCTGGCGATCACATTTGCGCGTATCGAGCTCAGTGGGGTTGGGCTCCTCCCCCCCAGAAAGAGGGTATGGCGTTTTTGGGGGCCATCTGTATCGGCGAATTCTTGTCTCCGGGGTCGGCTGTCGCCGGGGAATCCTGGCAGAGCATGTGTGGGAGCGGGCGCTGGGGCGGTCTCGAACTGGGGCCGGGAGGCAGGCACATACGGTATGTCGCGCGGGCATAGTCCGGAAGAACCGAGCCGGAATGGAGCGGCGTAGCAGCTGAGTGGTTGCCACTGTCACAGTGCGAGCCATATCCGGAAAAATGATGCGTGCATGCAGTCAGTCCTTCTCAGTGCACCCTTGGCTCAGCCGAGCCGGATGACACCAAATGAAGGTCATTGCAGATGGAAGGGGCCAACGGAGATCCGTCGGGAATTCATCTGCTCGCGGCCAATAGGCGTGAAGTGAAGCGCAGGGAGCGAGTGCGGTCTAAGCACACCCGCGAAGGGATAAGCAGAGCCGCGAGAGATTTCACGGACGTTTTGTCAATGTCATCCGAAGCGAGCGCGGCTGATCGGCATCACCTTGGCAGCGGTCAGTTCGACCGAGGGCCGTTGAATCGATTGATGCGTTATAGACAGTGATGCTTTAGGGAAAGTATACAGCGAGAAAATAAACATAAGCTATAAGCCTACAACATAGTGTGCACCCTCAAGTAAGTACTTACAGATAAATAGACGTACGTCACTCGAGTAATAAAGTCTAGATACAAAACAGTCAGCTGGCATTTTCACCTCGACTGGGTGTTATGTGTGTGCTTAGTGCGCGGCTTGATCTTATTGCGCTTCAGGCTCAACGGGCGCTCCTTCCCACGCAGCCGGGCGTACACCCCGCACGCATTGCACACCTGCGCGCCCTCCTTGTTGCGCCGCCACACACTCGTCCGGCGCGTCCCACAGTGGCTGCACTTCGGCCCGGTGTACTCCGCGTCCGGGATCTTGGCGAGCTCGTCATCCTCGTCCGTGTCCCGGTCCGCGTCAATCAGCTCCTGCGGCCGGAGCTTGTTGCGCTGCTGCAGGTACAGCCCGCACGCGTTGCACAGCGTGCGCTGTGTCGACGGCTCCCGGCGCCACAGCGGGGTCGACGTCGCGTGGCAGTGGAAGCACGACTTTTTCGGATTCGGATTCGGGCTCGGGTTCGAGCTGCTGCTGCTGCCGGGCATGGCGCCGGCAGAGGTCGCAACGGGCGTTGCAGCACCCACGAGCGTCTGCGCCGACCGGTGCGGGAGGATGGGCGACGGGAGCGGGTACGGCTTTGACTCTGGGGGCGAGGGCAGCCGGGGGAGCAGATATGACCCGCCGGGTGAGGAGGCCCCTGAGCTCGCGGAGGATGAGTACGGGGAGGACGGCGAGTAGGCGTCGTATGCGCCGAACTGCGAGCCCATGCTCGCCGCCGAGGACGGCCCGCTCCACCCGCCCATGTGCGAGTGCGAGTGCTGGTGCTGGTGCTGATGCTGCACCGGGTCGGCCGACCACAGCGTCGGTTTCTGGCGGTAGGACGGGGGCGGGGCATAGTGCCCGTGCGCATGCGCAGACGGCAGCCCCGCAGGTGTCGCCCATGCGTCCTGGTCATACGATATGTCGGTCAGGTGGCCCACGCGGGAGCCCAAATGCGGCGACGGGGGCTCGGGGTACATGGGAATCAGGCCGCTCAGATCCAGCGTCGGCGTCGGGGCAGGCGAGATGGGGGACGCGGAGTGGTCCCGGTGCAGCTGCGCGTGAAAAGCGGGCATGGGGGACGGGGTGGGCGGGCCCAGCCGCGAATGGCTCATGCGCATGGCGGACGATGGGTGTTGGTGGTGATGCTGATGCTGATGGTGCGGGCCAATGTCAGAGAGCGGCGCAGCGCTTCCTGGCCGATACATGCCGGAGGCCGATGTCGCATACGGGTATTCGCGCGACAGCGGACGAACAAGTTCTTCGTGGCAAGCACCTTCAGCGACTATCTGACTATCATCTGGACCCACACACCTTCTCCCCAGTACGGATCTGGCTTGAGCTTCAGAAGCGGGGACATGACGTCTACCGTGTTGCTGCCGTCTTCGTGTGGCTGGTTGAGCATTGTGCTGAACAACATGCTGTGGTGCGGGGGCATTGGCATCGCGCTGTTCCAAGAGGCTGGGAAAGGACTTTGACAAGGGAGAACAAAAGCTTCGTTGCTTCTTATAAACACTCACAGATCGGGCTTTCTTGATGAATCGGGTTGGTTCGGATGATTGGCGGTAACGCGGGAACGTTCCTGTACCAGTTTGAAAGGCGGCTCGGTTCTCAGATTATCCCCGGCGAGTCTGTGGTCTCTCAGGTCCACGACATCTGTGTGATGGACAACAGTCGTAAGCTGCTGTTGCTCTGTCAGATCCCGGCGCGATCGGCTACGCTCTGCCTGTTCCCCGATTGAGCCAAGGTATGGAGATTCCAGCGCGAGAGCGCACTGTAACGGCCCCGTCCCCAGTGAGACAGCGCTCAGGCTCAGGATGCGCGTGTGGTGCCGCCTCCGCGGTCTCACGGTGATCACAAGTCAGATCAACTCACCGTGCGTGGCTTGGCTCCGCGGAACCTTTCTGCGGTGACAGCCCCCGTCACATCAGTCGGTGATGTGGATTGCGTAAAAGCCGAGCCGCCCAGTGAAGCAATGTCTCGCTTACCTGGAGTAGATGTCGGTTCTAGGTCACTCGTCGCCGATGCCGAACCGGAACTGTTGCTCCGTTACAAAATATCGTTCGATCATCCGGTGGAGCTTCGGGCGGTTAGTCGAGAGGCCAGAAACGAATCTCTGGAACTCCATTGATGAAACACAAGAGGTGTAGATTTCGGCAGCTCTCTTTGGTTGTGTGACATTCATTCATCGAGTCAAATCTGGCCACGTTGGTGTCTCAGGCTGTCACGAAATCTAAAAAAGATTCGACTTCGCTGCTTCATCATGATCCAAACTTGTACACGAAAATGTACATAACGAGAGGAGAAGCTAGGATCAAGTTGGAACGCAGCCTTCAGCCGGAAGCGAGAGGAATCACAGAGCGTGCTTTGCTGGGATCATAAGCGACGCAAGCCCCCAGCGACCAATTCGCTCTCCGAAAGCGTGAGCACAAGAGGGCCGGACATAGCTTTTTCAATCAGAGCCCGATGTTTTCCAATCAGAGGCTGAGATGGTCAAAAATACAAGCTATCCAGCGCCATGAACGGCGATATGGCAAGCATCCGACTCAGTCTGACAGACGATAACACAGCCGGCGCGTCTGAGGCGCGGGCAGTCCAACTCGCCCGGCGCTCCGCGGGCCTGGCACTGTCGATCTCCCAAGCGACGAGTGGGACGATACAGCCACCTGCCAGCGCGAGCAACTGGGGAGGGTAACCGCAGCAGCCCGACGTATGCATAATCCGTGTGTCATCAGTGATAATACGCTGAGGACTGGGTGAATCCCGCTTTCAAGTTTCCGAAACTGGCACCATATGCCGTTTGGCTGATAGTGTCAGCCACGGAGAAGCGAAGAACTTGAGAAAGGAACGGGGATTGGGGAACCCTCGTTGTCTCAACGATGGCTTGCGGCGTCCATCAGCCCGCTCGTCCAACCGCACGCCGTGCTACGCCCGCCCTCGTCGACAAGGAACGAATGTAGTGGTTGTACGTACTTCGATGCAAAATTTCTTCCCTCAATTTACGCGCAGCACCCCCGGTTCACAGCGCTATGACTATCTGCCAGAATCGAGCATTGTTGACAGTTGTGTTTTGGGCCGTGGGATGAACCGTCCCCGGCGAAACGTGCCCGAGTGGATTTGTTCATTTCCTGGTAGTGGTTGGCGTGTTGGGCATGGAGTGACGACATTTTAGATGATCCCGGGCGTGGAAAACACGACGGACTGCCTTCCGCGGCCACGTCTGGCCGCCGCAGCCTGCGCGCTGAAAAACGCACGTACGCCTGACGCCCGAGATCGCACAGTTCATTAAGTGTCCTACAACGGAGGACTTGATGGATCAGTGTGAATGGACCTCCGGCGAAAGTCTTTTCCGCCGAATGGCACTCGAACCCAGTTCGCGACTCGATGGCTGCCAGCGAACGGGGCGTATCGCGATCTCGCGAGAAACGTATTGTTCCAGGCCCGTGGCAGATGCAGCCCCCCAAAATTGGAACGTCACCGATAATCCGGGAAGTCCTGCGATGCGATAGATGGGCAGATGCGTTCCTGGGCGCTGCATAAAAAATGCTGGCTGAGAGAAGTGACTAAGAAGCGTGTGCCGCACGTGACGGATTACCCATCCGCACGTGCTCTTTGGGCACTGAAATTGACTCGAGCCAACGTTGGAAGTACGCTAAAATTCACAGAAAAAGCACATTTGCTTCAATTTTGACGCGCAAAAAATCGACTCCGCGCTTGTCCTTCCGCACGCGGCAAAAGCGAAATTCACGTGTCTTGCTGACAACAGGACCCTGCCACACGTGATTTGCAACATGCACAGTGATCAGACGCGTGCGTGTAGCTATCTACTCAGATAGCGTGCAGCGCTCGACAGGATAAGAGGCCCATGGGTGGCTGCGACGCTTCATCTGCTGTGTTCTAAAGTGGTCTAGCTCAACGCGAGCTAAGGGGCTCGCTGTATCGACCCCTGCCACGACCGTCACCGTCAGCGAGAATACATGAAACGGAGCCAAGGCCCCTCGCCTCGCGCTCCAGAAACTCATCTCTGCATGGCCATCTCTCGCGAACCGACATCTACGCGAATTGACAGCGGAGTTGGACCCTCCCGGTGGCCGAGCCTAAACTTATGCGACGTCCGCGGGCCCAGTTGCCAAGGCGGTGGGGCGCGGCGAGCCCCAAGCTTCCCACCAATATCTTGATCCGCATATTGCGCCGATGCTGCGTCACCATCCAGACCACGAAATCTCCTTCAGTCGCGGCCTGCGGGGCAGACACCGATCTGCGTGGTACAGCGCGGTGCTTCAATCCTCGGCCGATCGGGGCCGCGTCCCAGACTCAAATCTTCCTTTTTTCTATATCGACCAAGAATGCGGAGGGCCAGATCAAACGCGTTCGATGGAAGTCCTGTGCTTGCCATCGATTGTGTTCTTGCTACTGCTTCCGACGATGCGGCCCGCGCGCGCCGACGACAGATTGATCGACGTCGATCAAAAACTGATGATCAGATCGGACATTGCCATGGAGGTTGCAGAGGACGGCCGACTTCTCAGACCGCCATTCCGGCACCTGTTGGGCTAGGCGTCTCGACCGCTCATGCATCCCAGCAAGCATCCTCCTCATCATCACACAGCCAAGTCGTTTCGATAGCCACAGGCTCAATCCACCGGCTGGACAAACGAAGATCGGCACGGCTTCCCCCAAGCGAGAACACTCCTCGTCAAAAACTGGCGGGTTCTTCTCCCACAGAATCCGGGTGAATTCTGCACGGCATGACACGACACGACGCGGCGGGACCGAGACCCAGCCCGCGCGTCGTCGAGTCTCCGGCTTCCAATGATTCTGATTCGGTGATTGCCGACGCACGGGTCTGGCTTTGATGCGAGACGTGCAGTGCAGAGACGCCTATCGCACACTGTGTGACTCAGAATGTATGGACAGAAGCCGCTGTTCTCCAGCGCCTGGGAAGCACCCTCATCCTATCATCAAGGACGGCTGTACTCCCCGCGGCATAGTCATGCGCGAGCGGGTTCGTACCTCCGCGGTCTGCTGCGGTGTTTGTTTTGTTTTGCTCCAGCGTCCACGTAGCGCGGCCGGATGAAAGGCAAGTGGGGAAGCGTGCAGATGCGCAGTAGATACTCTGCGCTGATGATCAGGACTCCAGCATATACACACTCCGCTGAAGCGATTTGATGAAAACCCGAGACATATTCTGATGTTCGTCGGCCAATATTCGGGGGGACGACTTTGGCGATGGCTGGTTCATTTTCCGCTTCGGACCACACACGCAGTGCCCCTGGCTTGGCTTGGCTCGGAAGGAAGGAAGGAAGGCAGGAAGGTTGGATAGATGGCTGGATGCAAGGGGTGCGAGGGAGCACACTGCGTCACGGTACGCATCGGTGTGATTGCCATCAGCTCTAAATGAAGGAATGCGAGCTGGGCCAACGTCTTCGAGCCGGTTGGAGCTTGGCTGTCAGTGCGCACCGTTCTGATGGGATGGGATGGGATGGGGTGGCTAGAACTCGAGCCTGTCAGTATCCGTCGAGCACTGCGCGCGCGTGCACGACCCTGGAAACAATTCGTATGACACAGCTGCCCCATTTCCGGCGACGTGCATAAATCAATCTGGGCACGCAGAGCTAATGTGTCGGCGAGAGATAACGACCGTGCATTGAAGTTGGGTGTACCCCGCAGCTGTGAGAAGCAAGACCTCCAGGAACGTTGGACAATGCCGTTCCCTGACTCATATTCTGCCGAAACCCGACTTCATTCTGCCGGTCGCTTGGTCCGCATCCCAATGCTTCCCTGATCTCCGCAATGCCGCAGAAGCTCAGGAACCAATAGCACTCATCGCTCAGCTCTCAATATCCAGCAACGCCCAAGTTACGTAACGTTTATTTATCATGAGAACGAGCTGCGGCCACCGGGGCCTGTTCACGTGAAAAACCCGACGTGTCGCTGAGCGTCGACTACGTGACTTTGATAGCTCTTCCACACGGCCTTCTGGGGGGGTGTGGGACTCGGACTCAATAGCCACCGAACGGAGGGAAAAATTGTGGGCTGACACAGATGGGTCGAGGCCACTCCCTTGTCAATTGCTGTCGAACACATGATTGATGATGGCATCACCGAGTTTGCCACGCCGCGAAACTGGCATCGCTTGTTCTGGTCTCGCGTCTTGTGCCATAGTTCCCATCGAATGTCAACTGCGGGTGTAAAGAGTCGTTTCTCACGTGCTCCCGATTTCGGCTGCGTGGGGGTCTCTCCGCCTTGCCCCCAAGCTCGCTTCTCACCGGCCCTCGTTTCCAACATTCGCAAAGCTCAAGTAAACTGCTTCGCAACGGGTGTTTTGGCTACTGAGGACCGTCCGGAGTCCGGAAGACGTTCGCATCGACGTTATTGTGAGAGAAAACAGCTTGGTCGACGTCGGAGGGCAGACGGGCAATCGTGCGGCGCAAGCCTGTCAAGGGGAGATGATGAGATCATGGCTGCAGCTAAGTACACAGGATGAGAACGCTTTGAACACAAAGGCCATCGACAACCATCCTCCTAGGCTGCTTTCCTCACCGACCTTTCTACAGCCTTCATCTGCTGCCATCCGCGGGGGCAGCTAACACGAGGCTCGAGGCACTGGTGAGGAAACTGGGTTTATGCCATGACTCTGAGTGCGGGCTGTGTTTCATCAAGTGTGGGATCCGCACGGCCACTGCCTCAGCGTGTAACTGGCCACTAGGAGAGGCTCGATCAACACAGCTCTCCACGCATCTTCGCACGTGTCGTTGATTCATCCGGACTGATACACTGCTGGATCTACAGTCTCCAAGGACTTCAGGCTCAATCAATAGTACAAGGCAGCTGGACGGGATCATGACTTGTCGTGGCCTGACGTGCGCCCGCCGCTCAGATTTCGGACGTTTTGAAATCTTGACGGGCACTGGGATCTGCGCGGGTGCGTCAGTCTGCGGGATATCATTTTCCTACCCGGGGTCCCTCCCTCAACAACTCTGAAAAAGCGAGCAGCCTCATTCGCCGCATGCCCCATCTTATCAAACGAGCTACAAGTACAACAACGTCCCATGCGCATGCGGTGAAGGGAATGACTGTCGCTGTGGGCTGCCAGCGAGGATCCATTTGCGTACGCATGATGCTGGATCGCTGGATCCCGTCGAGCCCATAAACGTCGTGGGTATCAATTGTTGTCGGATCCGCAACATACACGTCTGTGAGGTGCGGTGATTCATTCGTATAATGACAAAGTGCATGCTCTTCTAGTGATTTCACTATTCAGGCGTCGTGAGGAAACGAGTGTGAGCTATGCGAACAACAGTGAAGCTGTGGCCTGCTTGCTACACTCCGTGTTTTTGGAACCGTACACATCGACAACAGAATATATTCGCCAGTGTAATGGAGTGGTAAGTGGTATTAGATTTGTCGTCTGCAACAGGGCCAATGCTCATTGAGCAGTGTACTCCCGAAGCATAACCGGGAACTTCCCCGTCGACACGAGGCCCGCAGTTCCTGGCTCGAACGACACAGGCCGCTGGAGCACATTGCTGATGATGGGACCAATGACCGCTGCTCCGGGAGAGAACTCAAACGCGCGGAGAAGCGAGAAGAGAATAGCCTTTTGTCTGTTCAAGCAGCTTGGTCAAAGTGCCCTGCTATCATAGAGAAACATGCAACGCACTCGACGATACTGAATCGGAAGCCGATGCAGTTGTGCGAGCCAGCGAAGAACGTCAGCTGGTTTGCCCACACACCCGGGACCGAGTGCACCGCCTCAGGGAGATCGTCCCACCGGCCCGGTCTGCGTAATCCACGTCAACGAGCGGGAGCAGATGACCAGACCGAACAGTCACTTGAACTCGAGGGCATCTTCACCCCAAGTCTGCTTGTCTGTGTTGATCGCGAGAATGGGGATAGTGAACACTTGACCTTTGCGGATCCTGACGACGACGTTTGATCAGGCGAGAGAAGACACAGCAGATAAACAGGACGGACGGGAGGGTGTCGTGCGACACGCCTTGACGATCGACATACGGCTTCGCAAGAGGCAACACGTCGTCCTGGTTGGCCATTCTCTGGTTGAAGACCACCGGCGCATACAATCTCATCGACTCCCGGATGAAGTTCTCCAGGAACGGGAGTGCATTGAGCTCATCCATGGTGGGATGGTCGGTTGGGAGCGAGAGCAGCTCCTGACGGAGCTTGTCCTGCACGTCGGGGTGCTGGGATAGAGCGTGCAGCGCCCAAGACAGCGCGGTGCTGGTCGTTTCGTGTCCCGCAAAAAAGAACGTCGGGATCTCTGACACGCGTACGCACGGGATCAACCGGGGGGGCACCAAATGCGAGCAATGGAGCAGACGTACGCGAAATGACTTCCTCGTCGCTCAGCCTCTGACTGGCAGGAAGATCGCCCGACATGTTCGCCTTGACAAGGAGAGCCAGCAGATCACGGCCCTTTCCGAGGTCTTTCTCGCCGGCCGTAGCGGCAGACTCGCGTTGGGATTTTTGCAGAAGTTGCTGGCCGATGGCGCGCAGTTTGATTTGGGCAAGACGAATGATCTGCCACCCGGGCAGTGGCTGAGGGCAGGGTAAGCACGTCAACGAAAAGCAAGCCGTCTCCAGCAGCCAGACACGCACGACATATCTCAGCACTGGAAACATTGCCTGCGCGACCTGCACAGTCTGGTACACATTGGCATTGGGGGAGTGAAACAGCGAGCGAAAGACAGTGCTGAGCTCTGCCTCGTCCTGTCCACCGGACTCCAAGGAGTTGAACTGGTACCCGAAGCCTAGACTTTTCTTAGCACCCTCAGGATCGAGCCAATTCCGGCGCTGCTTACCGGCTTGTCCGATGATGTCGAGGGTGACTTGTGTGAGCCAGCCAGAGAGATCGATGATCGCTTTTCCGCCCCTGTCTCCGGTCTCCTGTCTCAGGAGGTCTCTCAGCTGGTGCATTCATTCAAGCAGTCAGTTCTACGCGAGATAGCCGCTCGCTGGCAAACTCACCCTGTTTGCTTTCTCAACGAACACCTCGTTCATGATTCTGATCTGTGCCACGCCGAACGCGGGGTTCTAGAACATGCGGTCAATGTAAGCACCGTGAATACGAACATGGGTCGGCACTCACCAGAACCCGTCGCTAGACCGACCGAACACGCGGTGAACACACGATATGATCTCGAAACGGCATACAAGAAACTTGCCTGGCGCTTGTGCGGATCGTGCTCGACGGACAACATGCCTTCTCCAAGGAGCTGGGTGACCTGCGCCAATGCTGTCGTCGTTCTCTGATAGGTCGCCCCGTGGCTGACGATATGAGCCACGGCTTTGACATCTTTGGTGTGCAGCTCGTTCTCCTGCGCCGGGATCAACATCGACACAGCCAGCAGCGGCCCGCGAAGAGCGTACTCACGCCCAAAAAGCCCTTGGCCATGAATGTCGCGCCGAATTTCTCCCGCCACGCATTGGTGATCCCGGGAACATCCTGTGCCAAATGTCGGGATCGACTCGTGAGCGCCAAGCATAGCACGTACCGCGATCAAATTCGAGTGTCCGAGGATAGGATTCGCACAGGCCGGGCCGTCAACAAAGTGCAGAGGCGAGGTCCAGTTGCGATACAGAATCCTGCAGACAAAGAGGACGACTGGCGTGAGTATAGCGAGAGAAGTGGACACTACGACGGCAGTGATCATGGCGAGTCTGGGAGAGCTTGACGGACGCACGAGCTACTTATCTAGTCCTTGGTCCATGTCTCGTAAGCCCTCGAAATTTCGGACCAAGGAGTCAGGTCGTATGACGAGCCGGCCGCGAAAAAAAACCGCGTCAGACATTGTTCGGACCCGAAGAGTGTGGTGCAGAGTAAGCGAGTGAACATCCATGACTCGTTGGAGCCTTATCATCTCCCTTACTACCGCCATCATGAAAAGACCCCGGTGTTCTTCGTGCTATGCTGACGCGAAGCACGGATATGATTTTCGCCCGACATTACTCGTTTATATTACTTGAACAACATAGGGCACATGAAAACGGTCCAAGCGGAAGCCTGGAAAATTCTGAATCTGCTGATGCCTCAGCACCGCTGCAGATACCTCCACAACAAATGAAAGCATCCTCTGAATTCCATTGCTTTTGTTATGCGCCTAAAAAGAGGTATTTTTCTTCTTAAATGTCACAGTGTAGACTGCTGTGTTGGTTGCTGGCACAAAATTGGACCATTTGCGGCATGTGGATGCATCCGCATCAACTGATGGCTGATCCATCAGTATTGATCAAGATTTATAAAAAAAAGTGGGATCACAAACACCAGTCAAGTTGATGATTTTTGTTCATGAGAGAGTTGTGATGCTGCTTTTCTGGCCAAGAATTTTTCAGCTTTAATTTTCAAGTATGCCACATTCCAAACTCAAAATTGGTTTGGAGGGTGCTGAAAACCAGGTTAAGATTAGGACTGATTACAAGAACCTCAAATACTTTTGCAAGGCCCTCAACCTTGGTTCAACTGTTATTCAAGTATGCCACATCCCAAATCTGGAATGGCTTTTTGTCTGCCTGAATTGGATTTCTGCATTGAAGAAAGGTAATATTGTCAGGGGATGCCACACTCCTTGGGCATATGACCACACTGTTGATGTGTGGATTTAGTGCTGCTTGGTTCAGACAAAGGATGTAACATTACTCCATGACACGTAGTATATAGCATCAGATCAATGTGACAGACTAGGCTTTTTGCCTCCCATCTGTGCCCCTAGCCTCCTGCAGCTCCCATCTGAGTTTTCTGTGTTCAACACACACATGTGACCCACTTTGCCTTCCTTGCCGACCAGTGTCTGCTTGCCTTGTTGATCACCCAGCCTCGTCCTCCTCTGATCCCCATCTCCATCCATGCCAATGTCCACTCTCTCCTCCTCCTCCTGGCCATCTCCTTCAAATCCCTGCAAGTGGTCTAGCCAAGCCTGACTCCTTGCACCAGGGAGTGCTACTGCTGTATGCACTTCTCCCTCTCTACTTTGGCCTTCTCTCTGTGGATGTAGTCTACAGCCATGTATAGGCTTGTACCAGATGCCTTCTGGCTTGTCTGCACCACCCCTCTTCTCAGTTGGGCATTGGTCCTCACCTCTGAAATCTTTATTGCTCAGCTTGGTTTTAGCTTGGCCACTGGACTATTTATTTATAGCTTGTGGAGAAGGAACCACATCAACAAGGACTAAAAAGGGAGCACCACTCTGGAGGCTTAATCCTTGGATAAGGAGGCAGCGCCTAAGGAATCTGCCAAAATCAAGGTTCCAGAACCACCCAGACACACAGGGGTGCCCAATGCTGTACAGGGGAGATCAGTGACCAAGAAGCAGAAAGGGCCCCAGCCCAGCAGATTTGAGCAGGAGATGCATAGCTATCATGCTAAGAGGAAGAGACAATCAATGGACATCTATTTCCAGATCATAGGCCTAGATTTGTGGAAAACACAGGGGGTCAAGGCATTGCTTGATAGCAGTTTTAGTACTCATTGCATTAACACCTACTATGCATGTACGGAGAGATTGGATATCCAGGAGCTTCTGCAACCCATTGTGGCCCAAAACACTTATAACACAGAGAATATCAGTGGCCAAATCACCCACTGCACGGACTTGTGTCATACATAATTTGATCACTTTTTCATCATTTCATCAGTCATCTAATCTTGTCTTTACACGGGGTTATCTTATCATGGATCACAGCACCAGATGGGCCAGGTAAAGGGTTCAGAGGGGTTATCTGTACATCAGGGCTGCATGACATATATAGTGGTCTCAGGGTTCAGTTTGGAAATCAGTTCAAACCTGAACTGAACTGAACTCTGGTTCGGGGTTTGGGTTCAGCCAAATGCCTGAACCTGAACTGTGGTTTGTTAGTGGGCAGGGCGTCGACTTGACATTTTGGTTCTACTAGTTGGCAGTGCATTGACTCAGTATCTTGGTTGTATTGGTTGGCAGTGCGTTGACTTGATATTTGGGGCTTTGTGTCACCATCTGGACGCTGTTGCTACAAGGGATCTTGATACTCCGTATTAAGTTCTGACTTGTGATATTGTTGGTTGTGGTTGGATTAGTATTGGTTTTGGCTCTATAGAAGATATTGGTTGAGACACCATTGTTTGCTATATATAAATCCTTGTTGTTAGCTTCGTCTTCCGCAAGTATAGGATGTTGCGTCTATTGAGAGTTGTGATACTGGTGTTCTGCTCACCCCAAAGCCCTCACATCTTTCACACCCTGAGAAGCTGATTACGAGGAGTGTGAACAACCATGGCAGTAGAATTTAGGCTACCATTGTGGATGTAACCAGTTTTAACTGATTACTTTATTTGCGGATATAACCACAACATTAGGCTAAGGTGTCCCCTAGCTGAAATAAAAGTTTCTGGGGGAATTGAACAACTGACCTCCCAAAAACAGTGTGCATCCAGTACATTAGCAGACTAAGCGAAAGGTCTGATACAAATGGTGAATATTCTTGTTAACTACCCTGATATGGACTCAGTGGGAAAGGCTTTAGTGTTCAAAATAAAGGCTTTAGTGTCTGAAATAAAGCCGCGCCCCTCTGGGCGTGGAGGTTAGCGGTAGGTTAGTGGTTAGGGTTTAGGTTAAAGGTTAGTCCCAAAGATGTCATTTTTCCTAAGTTGCAGTCATGGCTGGGAAGCAAAAGAAAAAAAAAGGTTCAGTTAGGGTTGGTTATGGTTAGAAACATGTTGACCAGGTTGTTAGGGTTTGAAATAACCAGTACTAGGATAAAGCTTTCCCCCCACTTAGGGTAAGCCAAGGCTTACCCTAAGTAGGAGGAAAAATTACATTGATCATGTTATCTGTCTGGCTCAGTGTGCTAATGCTCTGAAATGTCATTGGTTTTGAAAGGTCAACTGTTCAATTCCCCCAGAATTGTTTATTTTGGCTGGGGGACACTTTAGCCTAATGCCGTGGTTATAACCACTTAAAAAGGAATCACCTCTTGTGGTTATAACCATGAACTTTATTCTAAATACTACGGTATGGGCTTGTGTGAACGTGTTTATATTTGGGTTTACTTTCATAGTAGATTCACTTGTGAGCATGCCCTCACCATTTCAACAATCTGTTGAGCACTGGGGAGAGCATCTAGCAGGTCACCTTATGTAGGCTCAGAGTGTCACACTTTCAACCAAGCATCACACATCATGTCCATATGATTGATTGATGATCCAACATATTTGGTGGGACCCAGGGACTGACTCCACAGATGATTGTTAACTTGACTTGTTGTGTACTACCACTCATCAGCTCTCGCAATATCCTCCTCATCCAAAAACCAAGAAAAATACTATTCATGGTCATCTTCCTCTTCTGCAGGAACAACATAGGGCTCAATGTTGTTCAGGAGTGCTCAAAGGGCTTGATGGTGGTGGGGGTCTGTTAGGATGAACAAGCACACAGAAAATGGGAGAAGCCAAGCAAGGCATTGACACACTCGCTCATGCGTATACGCAAGTCAAAGCCGCAGATGGGGGTTGCAGACAAGTCTCAGACAAGCCAGTCTGTGATTGACAGGTGGCAGTACGTGATCAATAGTGTCTGCATTCAGTGGCGCAACTCTTTTTCCTTTGACCACGTTGATTCACGGCTGCGGACAACACCACTGCATGGTTTCTGACAACTTGGCACATGCTGCTCCATGTGCCAGACTCAGCTGAGCTTGCTTAGACAATGCCAAGGTCGATTTTCATATACTTTACTTTTGCTTCCACAAAAACCATCTGGGACTGTCCTATATCATCCCCTTTCCATACAATGCCAAGCTTTCTCTATTTGATTTCCCACATGTTTCTACATTACTTAGATACCGGTATATTTATCTCTACACTATATAAACCTGTATGTCTGTACTTGCAATAATACAGATTTTGGACTATCCTTGTACCTTGCCTCCGACCACCGCCATTACCCCTGACACTCAGAAAGCTTGTCCCCTGGACAACTGACTCCCTCTGCTGCCCAACATGTTCTGGTCCAGTTGAAAACCTTGCATATTTATATCCTGCTGTTGTTGTGTAGCAGCTGACCTATATTCTGTGTTAGCTCGCACACAAATGCCGGCAGGAGTTGCCAGCATGCACCCATGCCTCCCAGATATTCATCTATGGCATTTAAATCCTGGAGCCCAGGCAATAGCTCCATCTTATTGTTCTTGTAGTTGTGCTCAGCCATAATCAATGCATATCTCTATCTGCTGTCAAATCCCTTGTTGATGGTGTGCATCTGATCAAGTTTCCAGAATCCACTGAGCAGCTGGAAGTAGATATCCCAGCAGTTCTCTTGTGTGACTAATGGCTGCCCCATCTCAACATACAGCTCAGTTGTAACCTCATCAAATTCTTGGGGGAAAAGCTCAAAGATGGGATGATCTTGCAGTGCATACAGATTATAGACAGTTCAACGTTTTCTGTGCTGGTTCAAACCTAATTTCAGGTCAGGGTGCCTGATCTAGCATTGCTATGAGCTCACCTTGAAATCCAGTGCAGCAGATTCCTCTGGGTATGCCAACATGTGTACTGGGATTCCGTTAGGTAGAATTCTATTGTGGTTGTAAGGGCAACCTCGAGGCGGGGGTTCAAAAGCTCAATCCCAACAGGATATGAACCTGTCAAGAACATTGCTGCATTGAACACCTGTTCTGCTCTGATTGGCCAAAATATAAGCGGAACTCCCTGGCTTAGCCCTTCAGTCAATTAACTACAAATCAGATGTTGATATGGTATCATGCCATAGGTGAGCTGGACTGACTTGTAGCCACCATGTGTCAAAAACCATCCAACTATGCCGCTCTTCAGGATGGCTTTTTGATTGACCCAGTGAGCACACACAATGCCTCTGCTACTAGCATGCACACAATCAATAGTCTCTGCTGACAAGGAGGCCATTGCTCCAGCTAGGACAAATATGAATGGCACAACAGTTTTGAGATTGAGCAGCACGTCAATCATGACCTCAACCAGATGGGGTGTCTCCACTGCGAAGAATAATGAACTGAGTGAGTTTGAGTTCACGGGTCCAAAGGAGGAACTCCTGCAACGCACCCGAATGAGATGTACAGCACAGATTTTGGACCAAATTCCTGGCGTGACTTCTTCAAGAATGTTGTAACTCTCAAATCTGTGGGACCAGGATCTGCTGAAGGTGCTTCCCAGTCATTGTTGTGCATCTGAGGACCAACAAGGAATAGTTCTTGCCCGCGCTGCTTGTAATATTTATGAGCAAAGGCAACTGCGGTGGGTTCTAAAGGGCTGCTTGTGGGGCAAAAGAACCCATCTGCAGCCTGAGCAAACTCCTGTGCAGAGGCCATTACAGGAGTGATGTGGCAAGGGGAGCCAGCGCCCTGTGCAGTGTGCTCATAATTGTATATCTTGACTCCTCCAACAATCTCGAGGATTCAACCGTCTAGTTTGTCACTGCCATTCCCGGCACACCCTACCTGAATAAGATGGTAGAAATGAAGGCCGAATGAACAAATGAGCTTGCACATACGTCGCCCAAAATCTCATCCATTGTCCTCCCCGCTTGCTTGGTCTCATCGGCGTATATTTCCCGTGCCGTCTTGTTGAAATCGAAGAGGCTGAAATGATCTATGCACGCCGCAACTCCAGTGGAGCACCAGAAAAGGATTTTCCCCTGCGGTCCTAATAAAGCCCCCGACTCCTTGAAAAAAAATCCGCCTCCGCAAAAGTCCAGCTGCTCCAAGTCTTGAGCCGATGATGATTGACCTACATGCAATGTGTTTGGCTTGGGCCAATTGTTCCCTCCTCCAACAGCCTTTGTAGTGTTGTTCCGGGTTGGGTTGGGTCAGGACAGAGGCAGGTCGGGTTGAGGGATTTTGCCTGACCCGGTCTGGGGGACCGGGTCGGGTCGGGTTGCGGGTTGGGTCTGGGTCAAGACCCAGGTCGGGAGGTCAGAAGATTACACAAAAATTGCATTACATTTTGTATGCAGTGTTGTATGTGAGCAAGAAATAGATATTGAACAATATTCTAGATGTCTTCATCATCCTCTTGCTCATCGGGTTCATCTGCGAGACAGCCATCACATGCTTGGAATTCAGGTTAGGGTTTGTGCGGGGTGTGATCGCGGGGTTGTCCGCAGGGTGGGAACGTAAAAATCAACAGCCTGTCACATTTGCAGGCTCATGGCTGCAATCCAGAAACCCATGCTTGCGTTGCAGGGTGCCGCAGACCTCCAGAGACTCACGTGTCAATGCACCTGATGTGACCCGGGTCTCGACCCGGGTCGTCGGGTCGCGCAGATAGCCTGACCTGACCCCGACCCGGTCTCTGACCCGACCCGACCCACCTCTCGGGTCGGGTCGCGACCCGCGACCCGACCTGGGACAACACCAAGCCATCCGGATGTGAGCTGTTTCAGACTCTCTTCCAGATTCGCCGGCGAGGATTGGAGGCTGTTCTCTCGAAAATGAGTCAATCAGAAGCAACCTGGAGACTCACTCCTTATCGCCTACACCTTGTATCTTCAGCCTACTTGTGTCGAATGAGCACAAGCCAAACTCTCTGAGCATTTGGGGGACTACATCCTTGAGACAAGGTTCCAAACAAGAGATTGCACAGTCACATACCAAAATTATCGTGCTGCACGATCGTGACGACCAACTCCGGATCCAAGGCCAACATTCGAGTCGTCAGGTGTATGTAGGGGAGAGTATGGCCCCAAGCCGGCGGAAGGAGAGCTAGAATGTGTCGAGAGGGCATGAGACGCTCCGGAGTGTGTGATAGCGCTGAAACATGCGTGCCACATCATTTATAGTTCTGACTCGTTAGCGAATGACATTGGAGTAGGGGGTCACGTGTCCATAGCAAGCGATACATGTGCAAACGGAGAAATACAATCATCCTCATCCACGACGACAAGCCGGACCACTCCAACATGACTGGCAGAGACGTGAATCTACCTGAGTGACTTCTGGTTAGTCACCCCAATGAACGGGCCGTCGCTGCATGCGCCTGCGGTCCTTTTATCGCCACAATGAAGACGCGGCAGATCCGAAGATCGATGAGAATGAAGCACGAGTACAGCTTCGGGTGCTGGCGTTGGAGCACCTCAGACGCCTGATTGCGACAGTTCAACATGTATTTTCAGACTCATCATCACGGAGATAGTGGCTGACCGATCGTTCGCACACGCACCCCACAGGTCACTCGGGGCATTGAATCGCGCATCGCTGAGGAGCCTCCGCGGTAAATGCTCCTTGAGTGAAACATTTGCTCTCTCAAATTTACACATAGGAGACACAATTCCGCCACAGCCTCAGCCAGGGACTGCCACGAAACTTCGGGTTAACTCTTGTAGTTACACGGTACTGCGATGAATTGAAAATATCATCCCGGCGGACCCGACCTACAAACTAAGAGTTGCATGTGAAATCGGTCCCCACGTAACGGGGGTACCGATGGGTCACGTCCATCACCCACTACGACTTAGACCTCAGGGCCAAGCTCCCTCATGACAATCATACGAGACGAGATTACATACCGTGTCGCCGAAACCTAGCCTGCGAGCGCCCTAACAAATCGCGCATGAATAAGCTCTGGATGCGCTCATTTCCGACGGAAATCGGAAACTGAGTAATTCCTCCTTCTCCAAGGCCTCGCCACCAAGCCGGCATGTGTCAAACCGGTGAACATCGGCCACCAGGCCTCACGGTTATCAGATCCGCACACTTTTGGAAATTTGCAAACAGCCAGTGAGCCCAATGACTCAGTTCGCTTATGCACTGGCCGGCTTGTGGTCCGGACTCAGAGAACCCACGCACCTGATAGCCATGGATGCTGAACTTCCAGGTGGGGTAAATGTCGGCGATTGCTCAGCGCGGTTTACATCCAGGGTATCCGAGGGACTCACTCCACCAGGATATAAGACACACAGCAAACCTGGCTCAAATCAACCATCCAAAGATACGCCCATCGACATGTCCTACCCGACATTCAATTTCCACACGACCGCTGAAGACGTTGCGACGGCTTTTGCGGATTACATCAAGGGAAAGAACGGTTCGTGGTGGCATACCTTGGAAGCGTCTGCTAAGCACTGATGTCGATGCAGTTATTGTCACCGGCACCTCCATCAACGGAATAGGTTTTGAAGCTGCACGGGTGATCGCGAAATATGCGAATCTTGTTGTGATCACTGGGTACAACGAGGAGCGGTGCGTTGTAACGAGCAGGTCGGAGCGACACCTATCTGATCCGGATCACCCCTCGAAGGTTGAAACTCGCTGAGGCGGCAATCAAGAAGGAGGTACCGCAGGCTAACATTCGGATCCTCATCCTCGACCTCTCGTCCCTCGCCGCCGTGCGAGCCGCAGCAGCACAGGTCAACGCCTATGAAGAGCCAATCCACGTCCTGATCAACAATGCCGCGGCGCCGGTGGCTCCGCTGAAGCTCACCGTGGACGGACTGGAGCGTCAGATGGCTACCGACCATTTCGGGCCGTTCCTCTTCACTGCGCTCATTACGTCGAAGATTCTTGCAGCCCGGATGGAGAATTTCACGCCGCGGGTCGTATTCGTGTCGAGTATCGGGCATAGCCTGTGTCAGGGAGTTGACTTTGGAACGCTGAGGAAGCCGAACGCGGATACGTACGGGGCGTTCAATGCTTACTTCCAAGCCAAGTCTGCCAACGTATTGACGGCGGCTGAGCTCTCGCGGAGGTCCGGTGGGAAGATCAACAGCTATAGTCTGCATCCTGGAAGTGAGGCTGCGGACTTCTATATCCGAACCAATTCATCTGCTGAACACTTGAACAGCGATCCTGACAAACCTCGTTGGCAAGGAAGAGTCGCAGGAGCATCTCAAGGAACTGGGTGTCTTACTGCCCGACGGCCAACAGAACACTAAGATCGTTGAGTGGAAGACGATCCCGGAGGGCACGGCTACGACCGTGGCTGCGGCGTTCGACCCCCGCCTCGATGCGACCCCCGGAGCATACCTCGACGATTCCCAGGTCGCCAATGACAAAATCGAAGAACACTCTGCGGATCCGGTCAGTGCTCTGATGATGCCTGTGCTCCCAGAAACAATTCTCTTATGCTCGTCTGCCAGGCTAATGCGGCCAAACTGTGGGATCTGTCGGAGGAAATTGTTGCAACGAAGTTCATCTTCGAGTAGAAAAACGGTTGTGTAGCATGGCACGAGATCCCGTCGTACCCACCTACCATTTGTGACAGCTACGAAGTTAGAACTGTGTATCTGTCGCAAAGCCGATCAGAATTAGCCGCGAGTTTCTAGTTCAATTTCAGTCTCTAGTCGGCCATTTCCCTTTTGCGGATTCCACCCCACCCCACTACTCAAGCCGTCGTCCAGCCATTTCAAGACTGATACTGTTTCTTAAAACCCCTCATGATTGCGGGCAAGCTTTGCTTCGAGGAAAATTCGGGATGGGTTGTGCAGATGCAGTCCGATGCGAAGACAAGCCGACAGTGTGTCACATGTGACTTCAACTGATCTCATCGGAAGCCTCAGCTCATCCGGGCCGCATTGGCCCGCTTCAATTGCCCACTCTCCCCAGTTGAATCATTCCAGCCTCGTACTTACAGAGAATTTCCATTCTTAGCATCCCTATCCTGCAGCGAAGTCACGGTTCGTCCGTATGATGATTCTGTCATCGCACGTGCCCTCTGGTATAATGTTATTATCATCCAGACCCTCGGTCTAGGCTCTGTGCGCGGAGGGTAAAACGGATTCATGAAATAATCTGCTGCACCGCTCATCCATATGCGCAAAGCAGATTGTCGGGACACGCGCCTCTCGGACGTACTGGCTAACATCCGTGCAGTGATCCCATCACGGCACTCATCTTTCTAGAATTCTTCTGATTGCCTTCAGTCCTTTCCCCACGCGGACATAATGCGTGATGCAAAGCGATCGTCCCGCCCATACAGCATGGCGCCTGTTGTTCTTCGCATCGATATGTCGGCGCCCAGCAAGCTCCGCTCTTCCATAACACCTCCCAGTCAGATGCTTGTTATATCAGGTATTGCACCAGTTAGGTGTGCACCCACGATTGTCACTGCTGTATTTCCAGGTACAAGGGCTACATCGATGGGAAAGAACGGCCTGAAATTCCACTTTTGAGCGGTCGATGCTCCCGAGAGCGTCCAAGGGGTGGACTCTTTCCTGATGTGACTCAGTCGAAAGTTAGAAACCGCCCAACACGAAGTCGAAACATCTCATCAGAGAAACAGCCGATCGTTTCCAAGGAGCAGTAGACACTGAAAACGTTGCTTGATCGTCTCGGGCGCTCCTGAAATCTGTCTTTGCTGTTTGTCTTGAGTCAAAAGACCGAGCCGGGGTACTGAGCTGCCTTCATACATCCCCCATGTCGACTGGAACACTCCCAAAACGCGCAGTCCTGAATCCCCAGAATCACACTTCTGCTTCCATCCGGGCCGAAGATTCCGATTCCGAATGGATCCCTGTCAATAGGGAGCCTCCCAAACGCAGCCACTCCCCGCTATCTTATCTACGCATCCGCAAGAAGTCCAGCAGCAGCGACAGTGTCACAAAGAATGCCAAAGAAGACAAGACGACGAAAGCGCTCCGGAAAACATCGTCGACGGAATCTTTTGTCGTGTACCGACCTCACCCCGCTCCTCCGGTACCGCCGTTACCCCATGGTCCAACCACCATTTCTCATTCGCGGGGATTTTCGGAAGTCGACACAGGCCAACGTCAGCCGAGACAGATGGCCTCGCGCAGTCGCATGAATTCCGAGAATGATGCTGCTGCTGCAGGGAGCTCAGCTATTAGTGTCATTCGTGCGTTCCTGCCCCCTTTCTTCCAACGATCCTCTATCATTTCTGCTCACCAGAGGCGACAGCTCAAAATGAATCTAGCGCCGCTCATCCAATTGCTTCACAGCAGCACGGCAGGCCACCGATTGCGTACTCACCGGATGTGCTCTGGCCACGACCCCCGCAGTCAGACGACGATCGGACGCGCGACTTCCTTCTGAACACCCAGTCGTTTCTTCCTCAGCCCTCGGCATTCTTTGCTGCTGATGTACTAGCCGCCGCAGCGTCCGACTCCAGCTCGAGCTTTGTTTTGTCCAAGGATGCACTGGGCCCGGATCCGCCACCGCCCGGGAAACAACCCCATATTCGGAATCCTCCATCAACTCAAATACACCACCACCATCTTGCCGATGGATTGGTGACTGCGCTGGAGAGCGACAAGGAGAAGATCGCTGCGAAACTCGGTGCGTCGGAGACTCAGCGTTTGCTTGTTTGTTTTGGTGCTCAACAGGTTTCCAGAGCCTCTTATAACCGTTGGAATGCAGAATATGTCCAAGGCGCAGACCGCCGTGGACGAAATGATGGCAAGTCAGTCGGTCGTTTCCCCGTCTAAACTTATGCACACGTTACTGACTTGCCGCCACAGCAGAGGCGTGGTCTGTGGTCAAGGAGAACGCGGAGACAGTGCTGGCCCCTGCCAAGGACGCTATCATGATCATGGACTCCGTGGTCAAATACGTGCCGGTTCTCACCGTCGCTGAGTCTCTGTTCTCTGTGATCGTCCATCACGAGCTCGAAAAGAAGGAGAATGACAAGAATATCGTGCGTCGTTGGCCGGCAGCACTTCTCCGCCGGCACTAAACATATCTTAAATCCAGCTTGTAGTGTATCACACCATGGTCGGTGTCCTGTCTGGACTCCAACCTCAAAATCTGATCTCTTTAGTCGCTGTTGTGGTTCACGCTGTGTGACGTGCAAAGACTCTTCCGTGCACACTACGCCAAGAGCGACCTGGAACAATTCTTCCAGGATGTGAGTGATATCCCGCATCCGAAACAAAGACTCATCAGAATCCTGCAGCTGGAGAGGACGATTCGGGAATTCGGCAACTTCAGAGAGGTGTACTACAGGCACGGTAATTTTGGTGCGAGTCCACACTCAGTCCTGCAATCGGTCCTGACGCTCATCAAGCCCGGGCCGTTCGATCCGCTCAATACCGGTCCAAGCTGACGAACTTCACGTCGAGTTTCAAGGAGTACAAGGGTCGCCTGGACTCCATCCTCCTGCAGACCGCGGCGATGCAAGTCAACGACATGTCCGCTGATGTTCGGGGCGTATCTTCCAGGCTGGATGAGATGAACCGAAAGCTGGACTCGTTCGTCCGGCTACTCGGGAGGCAGACCGGTGAAGAGCGCGAGATGCAGAAGAAGATCAGGGCGGCGGGAGGGGAGAAGGTGCTCGAGGTGTGTATCCAGATGTGATCCGAGTCCCTGCGCTGCTGAATCGCCTCTCCTTCAATAGGATCCCGCGTTTTTGCTTCGACTCGCGCAGGGCAAAGAGCTGCCGTCCCATGTCTCAGAGACGCTAAGAACCACGTTGGACGAAGCTTTGAAATCAAACCTGTGCGCATCCCTCCCTCCATCTACAAACCTTATCTCAGGGCACGAGTCAGCCCGGCTTTCACTATGAAAATCGATATCGCGGTGAAGGAAATGACGGAAGCAGTCGAGCGTTCGACCGAAAAGATCCTCAACCAGGCACGCCAGAACCGCTTCAGGCCGAGTATGGGCTAAATCTTATACCAGCTCAACTCTGGCCCGTATCAGCTGATCCAGGATGCGGATATACGAGAAGTGTGGAAAGGTACGTGTCGTCTTCATTCACCTCTGCGCAGGCCATTCACTCGTCAATTCAGGCATGGTAAGACGCAAACTGAACCACGTCGTAGGTCTAACGAACTGAAATATGCGTCTAGAATTGGCGTATGAGCTGTAAAGCACGGAATTTTGTTGACGGTCAGCCCGTCCCAAGGCGCCCCCGATTCATCTCACCTTCTCTCAGCCGTGCACAATTACTTCGGGCAGAAGTTCGGGGATCATCGACAACGTCTTGGGAAAGCCCATCCAGATCAGTGGACGTTGGATATCCTGAACCAAGTCATATGTGCGTCTAGAGACGGGTAATTGGCGAAGACTCAGAGATTCCTTCCAGATTACTCAAACATCTCCGACGCAATTGATGATGACGGGAACGGATACATCTCGGTCCAAGAGGTCAACCGCTTCTTCAAGGCTCGACCCGACGAATTCTCTGCACCGCAGTGGCTTGCTTTGTGAGTGACTTCTGATCTTCCTATTGTAGAATATTCATAAATTCGAATAGCTGGGCTGTGGGATGGAACCAAAACGCCTTGGAGTATGTCCTTTCGCCCCTCCGCTCACAATCGCTGACATCCTGACCAGATACAAATCCCGCTGCGTGACATTATTCGCAGAAATCGAGGCGACCGCTCGGAGGGTACACACGCACAACCGGGCACCCGTCAAAGCATACATCAAGAACAGTGGGATTTCTGAGCTCTGGCTCCTCGTAGAGTCTCTCCAGCCCCATTCTGTCGCACGAAGTCGCCAGGAGTCTCATTTGTCGCTGGAAAGGCTGAGGGCGGATATGATGGAGAAGGAGACAAAGCTGATCGCCGGGCAGTTGGGTAAGATCCGGTATCAAATCGATAGCCCGGAGACGACCATTGCGGCTCTCGGGACACACAGGCTCGAAAGCGTGAGTCCTTTTTCTGAAGATTTCATCCGGCTGAATCCATAGAAAGCACATTCTATGCCTCATCGATCTCGTTCTCACGCAACATCTCCGGGTTTTGACTGCCGCGCACACACTGGTCCTTTCCGAGCGCGAATTCGAGATGATGGCGACGGCGCTGACGAGTATCGTCGCAGCGGTCAGCCATCGGTATCAGACGCTGATCCAAACATGGAAGCAACAGCGTCTGGACACCGAGTTTCTCGTCCGGTGCTTTGCTGGCGGCGTGTTCGGAGAGTGGAATGCGGTCTTCAGAGATGTGCGTGTCCTCTCCGCTTTCTTCCGAATCAGGCGCTGAATCGACTACAGCAACCTGTAATCCGCAGTGATGACTCGAGCTCTCCTGAGATCTCGAAATCGGGCTTTCCCACGACCAGAGCAGGGCCTATGAGCCTGGACGAAGTGCTCGTTTTCCCGCTGCCCGAGCAGCCCTTTGCATCACCTGAAAACCGGATCGAGACGCCTCCTCGCGGTTTCACAATGGTACGTCTCGAGCAGATACGTCAGAGCTTCAGAGCTTCAGGACGCTGACGCCGGCCAGCCACATCACAATGCCAAACGAGGGTCCCATTACTTTGATCAGTTTGGATTCCAGGAGGTGGCAGCGGACAAACGGGCTTCAATTCTAGAGCCTATCAGCCAGGTCCATGTGAACGTGAGTCCGGCCAAAACTTCAGGTTCGGAATGGAGCTGAGGATGTTGTGCACAGTCTAAAAAGCTGAAGCTCGAGGACCGTATGGCCAATCTGGAGGGAGAGCTCGCAGAAATCAAGAGCATGATTGGCATACTGGTAAATCTGCATCAGGGATCCGCTCCCTCGACCTAAAATGACATTGCTGCAAGGCATGCTGATGTGAGATACTCAAAGGCTTGAGAATAGAGCAAATGTTTCACAAGTGTTTGTTGTCTTGCTTAGGGCAAATAAAAGCTTCAGGCCTTATAGTTAAACCTATACTTCTTATACACCAACTGCATAAGTATTAAGTACCGAAAATAATTTACAAGCTACTTCTAAGTGTCCCAATATGGTAATGATTGATCTGGAAGTCCGGGGTTGACTGAGTTGTGGCCTGTACCTATGAGTTTCAACATATCATCTGATGCAGATAAACAAGTCATTGCATGGTACTCGCTATGACAGGAAGTAATGGACGGTTGTTACATTTTAACAATCTTGTAGAACAGAAAAACATGTTTTTATTCATTCAATAATGTGTATGGCCCCCTTTGGCATCCAATACAGCTTGTACGCGGTCCACCATGGTGCACGTGTACTTATTGATGTCATCAATTGGGATCTGATCCCATTCCTCTAAAATTGCGGATTTTAGTGTCTCAAACGTTGTCAGAAGTGGCCGACGAGCTCGAATTCGCTTCTTGAGCTCATGCCACACAGGCTCAATGGGTGAGACATCGGGTGAGCTCGCAGGATGGGGAAACAAGGGGATATTATGGTACTTGAGCCAATCAATGGTGGAATGCGCCATGTGACAAGAAGCGCCATCTTGTTGAAACTGGAGTTTGATGCGCCGGCCGCGGTGCTTCCGGAGATCCTCCATGATATCTCGGAGGTACTTCTTGAGCACCTGTTCCTGGTATAAATCAGCAGACATGCCCCCTCCTCGGCCTCCAGGATATCTCAAAATGACGAGGGGCCCTTTGAAGTTGTGTGCAACACAACCCCAGACCATGACCCGGATTGCCGACTGCTTGAATGTTGGGACAAGGCAGTCCTGCTCGAAGACCTCGTCCGGATTCCGTGTGACCCAAATCCGACCCACATTTCCATTCAAATGGAGGTAACACTCGTCCGACCACAAGATGCTTTCCCAGCCTCGTGGTGTCTTCTTCGCATTCTCCTGCGCCCAAGCCAGCCGCTGTGCCTTGTGTACATCAGTGAGGTACGGAACGTGCCTTGCAACACGTTGGTGCATTCCCACACCATCAAGCACCTTTGCGATGGTTGTTTTGCCGACAGTCGGGTCCATGAGATTGCCGATGTCTGCAAACGGCATTCTCCGGTTGCTACGCGCCTTTTGGATAATTTTGGCCTCCATCTGCTTTGTGACCTTTTTGGACGGCCGCTCTGAGGTAGATTGTCCACGGATCCGGTCTCTTGATACTTCCGCCAAAGTTTACGGGCCGTTTTGTATGGGATGTTGAAGCATGAAGCATGCTTTTTGATGTTACGCTCAACCAGCATTGCACCAATGAACTGGTTTTTGATTTCAGTTGAATGTCGAGGATGGGATGTGGTTTTTGGCATCGTGGTAGGGAAGTACAAGGTATGTAGTCTGAATCAACCAAATCTAAAGTCACATGATCATGATTGTGGAGCGCTCCACTTGAAATGATGTAGCGTCCATTACTTTCCGGCTGCACGAGTAGTCAATATTGGAAATTCAAAGTTCTACTTGGGACCTTTGTCAAGAAAACTATAGTGGTATACCATTGATTGCTGCAAGCGTGCTCCCAACTGAACCAGCTAAGAAGATAGATTCGATCACCAATATGTCACATTCCAATGGACCAACTGTCAGTGTGTGAAAGGGTTTCTGGGTGACAAAGCACACCTGATGTTGCAATGCCATGACTTTTGGGTAGATGGAAGTAGCTTATTACCTCTCAGTATCGTGTAGGACTCCAAGAATAGGATACATGTAAACATTCTATCAAATCTGTTCGAAACGACTGGGTGAGCTTGGTCTGGCCCAGCCCAGTTGCTCTCAGACTTGGGCTCGAGCCTTAAGTTTTGAGCTGCTGAGCCCTCAAAAGCCATTGCAAGCCTGCACGACACTAGCTGCAATCAATATGCGCTAAAAGATTGTCTTTACACAGAAGTTGCCGGAGATCACATGGCTTGGGAAATTTACAGGAATGGGAATCAATGATCTACACACAATTTCCGTTTAAATATATTTTCGTGCAATAGCGTAGCGCGCTGAGCGTTTTTGACGTGGCCGAAAAACCCCGGGCATGCCAAACAGGCGAAAAAGAGTGTACATGCGCCGGAATTGATTTCGGGACACCATGACAACGCCTTGAAGGCACCGTTGCACATCACGAACGGAGTCATCCGAATACTTACTCGACTCGTTCCCTTAGCCCATGGTTGCGACGTGATGGCAAGGTGCGGGACGGAGGGAACCTGATGAAAATGCGTGATCCCACGAGGCGCTCTGCCGGCTCTGCCGCGGCGCAACTACCACGCGCGAGAGCTTATCGAAAAGATCAAGCATCTGCATCGAGGCTTACTTGGCCGCGGCTGTGGTCTCGCAGGTCTTCGGTCTCCACTGCATTATTCCTATGACTAAAATCGAAGCAAGGATAGCGATAGGGGATCACTTTTCTCACCAACAGGGGGACGGCGGCCTTGATTAATCGTCCAAGCTCGAATTTACAGTCGCACTACGCGCCAAAATAACATTCGTCTCTACACAATCGAACGTTCTAGTTTCAACTCAATAATAATGTGTTGCTCCTCATTTGCGTTTCTGTCCTGTTTGTGATCGGTAATCAGAGAAACGGCAGAATCCGATAAAGTCTGATGTGAAATTTCACTAAATGCTATCACCGACTCGGAGCCGCTAATGCCCAGTCATCGAGCAGTGTTCCAAAAACTGCTGTGGTGTCCATTGAAATAATGGAAAGTTCATAAACAGCTTTCCTTGAGTGGTATGAAGTGGGTCGCCCGCGTTTTTTTCTGCACACATGAGTACTGCAGCAGCCCCTAGTCTATCAACCCCACCCCCGGCGTACACGCCCTCCGCAAACGCTCCGTCCTATTCATACGCGCTGCGAGACAATGAACGCCTCCTGGCTCAATCTCCACGACGCAACCCTCGTCCCGTCGGCACTTACGTGAAAAAAGTGGCCCGCGACACGGTCGTCCTGAGCGAGCAAGATCCCAGCGCTCCAGTCCCGACCTACGGACGCGAAGGGAATGTGGTGGGCTTTGTCGAAATGCAGGACCGAGAGTGGCTGATTGCTGTCGTTTTCCAGGTACGTTCGTTGCGTCGATGGACGTCTGGATGGGGGCTGAACCCACATGAGTAGATTGAGGGCAAGGTGACGGTCGCCGAGGCAAACGGCACTGCAAAAGAACAGGAAAACGTCTTTCTGGAGCACTCTATTGATCTTTGGACTGCGCAGACGGCGAGTGCTGGATCCTCACCTCCCAGCCAACTCGCATTCGGGTACAATCTCCCAGCGACGTTCATGGTCAACGACACAAAGCGACCGCTTCCGCCTTCGTACAGCTCTCTCCAAACCTGCATCGTCTATACGCTGTCGGTGAGCTTCACACGCGGCCGAGCCCGCAAGTTCTTCCCCTTCGCACCCATGAACACGATCTCCATCCGCTTCGACTACCGGCCGCGCACTCGCGCCGAACAGCCCATACCCCCCTTCTCGCCAGGCTCATTTCTTCAAGACGTCAAGGTGATGCCGGAAGAATGGCGTCAACACACGCACCACATCACAGGGCGCCCCAAATCGGACGTGGCCCCTCTCGATCTGCAGGTGTACGTTCCTATGATGGGCGTCTTCGCGCTGGACGAGCGGATTCCGTTTCATATGCAGCTTGCCGGACCGGCTGCGTCACTGCGCGAGTTCTACTGTGCCGACCCGCGCAAGGAGCGGTTACTCATCGAGGTCAGGGTCGTTCGACTGACATTTGTGACGACGAGCCATGGGCGGACGCGTCAATTTCGGTCTGTGATTGCACGAGCTGATCTGGTGAATCTGCCTCCCGGTGACGGCCACTCAGTGTCGGACTGTGCCAGTCTCGATTGGTCTGGGGACCTGTTCGTGAGGTCGGAAGAGGGTTCTGGCTCGTTTGATGCTGGTATAGTGAAGGTGCAGGTGAATGTCCTTGGTCTTGTCCTTTCGACGATGCGCTCACCGAAAAGTAGGATTTCCTTGTCGTTGATCTCATCCCAGTTGCTGGCCCCAAGGCCCATTTTGATCGAATCCGGCATTCCTATCCCATCCGAATCGCAACCGATCCCTATGACGCGTAGTGTCTTCGCCGTCAGTGTCCCAATCTCGTTCACGACAAGAAATCTGAGGTGTGGATTCGTCAAAGTATTTGCGCAATTCTGTCACTGTCATGGGCTTCGGGAACACAGCAAGCTTGGTCTGTTGTGTTGTTCTTTTAGCCTTGTTCTTTCTCTTACAATCTCGCTCAGGCTGCAATGTCGCGCTCGCTGAGGACATATTCGGGCATAATGCTGCCGCCGGCAGGTGTCCGCTACTCGTCCCTGCGATAGCTAGCTCTGTGTTGATCTGCGCGTGTAAACTTTGTCCATAAACGCTTCCCCTACTTCCACGTTATAAAATTTCACTTCAGTCAATTTTCCAATAATCTTTTCACCTCTTCTCTCTACTTCCATCTTCGAGACTGCCAATGATCCAATCGTCTTAGGATCCTTGATCCACCAAATTGTTTGAGCTTCTATATCTTTCCACTCGTTTTTGGTGGTACAAGCGGAGCCGAGACAGTAATGATTGTTTACCTTCTCATGTGTCCCATACGTAAAGATACGAGGCTGGGCCACCCGGGGACAAGAGAAAGTCCTGAAATCGCACGCAATGTGTACGGCAGTGACGGGATGCGTGTGATCCCGCGCTCCAATCTGTCTGACGATAGGCCACAGAGAGGGTTCGTCAGCCATGAGAATACACAAAACAACTCACCAAGACTCAGAGATTGTGCCGCAAGCCATTTTCTGTTGTCTATCTACCTTATTTTTCCTCTAAGTTGTCTCAACTCATTCATTATCTAGCGTCAAAGCTTGACCCCCAAACTCATTCTCATTTGTGACTGACGAAGAATTTGAGTCTTCTACACCAACTGAAAGAATTTTTTACATGATCACAGGAGCAATTTTCATGAAGCTTTGAAGTGTGAGCTCCAGCTTACTAGCTGAGATTTCTTTTCAAAAGCTTCGAAACAAAAGAGGAGAAATATCACTTCAGCCGATAGGATCACATGACTTTTTCACGTCAAACTCTTGTAACCCTCCTGCACTCATGCACGGTACAACTTCAGAAAGGAGACATATTCACTTCACAGAATACAAATACAAAGCTCCTAATCATTCCTACACTTGGGATCTGCTCACTCGTATCGATCAGTAGAGGAACTACGCGGAAGCTCCACCGCGCTTTCCGTGTGTGATCTCAGGGAACCATCTCGTCTCTCCGCACGTGGGCAGATCGGCGCCAGGCAGCACCGTCATCGAGTTCGCGCCGACCTTTACCTCCAGCGAGTCCAAGCGCGCATCGTCCAATGTCACCTCCTCCGCCCCGCGCGACAGCTGTACACGCCAGCTCAGCTCCTGGGTCAAGAAGGGCACGACTGTCTCGGGCTCGAAACTGGCCTGCGAGAGCACGCGTGCGAGGGCCTCGTTGAGGTGCACGAAGCCCTCGATCACGAAGCCGCCGTCCGCGTGGGCCTGGGCGGTGCAGTTGGCGCAGCGCGCAGAGGACGTGTTCACGAACGCGGTGTGGGAGCCGACGTACGAGGGCGACGCCCGCCATTCGAGAGGCGATGATGGGACGGGGCCGAGGAAGATGAGGACGCAGAACGTCGATGGGAGGGCGTACTTCTGCACGTGGATACGGACGGACCAGTCGAGCATCGTTGGTGTGGAGAGCGATGGGGCAGGGTGAGCCGCGACCAGCGGTGCCGCAGTTTCGGTCTGCGTGTGCAGGGCAGCACGGATGGTGGGCGTGTGAGGTGTGGGAGATGGTGCGGCTTTGGCTTGCACTGGTGCCGCGCTGGCGACGTTTGTCGCGTCGGTGCTTTTCGCACCATTCGCTGCTGTCGCCATCTGGAAGAAAGTGGCACCGCCGTACAGCCTGTTCACAGCTCGAGATATCGCTGTCTTCACAGCCGCTGGCTTGGTCAGATCGAGCCCGTTGAATTCGGGATACGAGTAGCCGAGGGTGCTAGTCTTGGTCGTCTGAGTTGATAGCCAGTACGTGTTCTGTGTCTCCCAGAATGGAGTGAGATCTGTTTATCTGACATCAAGAACAGGAAGCCGGCCCGAAATCGAGACACGTACCCGTGCTTGGTCCAATAATCGCGTTCGGTGGGATAGTCCACGTTCCGCCTTCCGCCGGCCCACGCGACACCCACACGCCGGGGTTGAGAGCCGACCACAGCGAAAGCATCCTGTCGACGTTTGCATGGTGCAAGAAGAACACCGGGTCGAAGCCTGCTACGGACGGGTCACCCATCTGACCTCCACCGCCAACATCGTTGTGGATTCCGTCGTGAATGGCCTCGAGGCTGTTGCTAGCGCTGCCGCCATCGTCGGCCGAGTGGTTACTGAATGCGGGCCAGGTGTGGACACGAGTGAGCAGGCGGTATGTGCTGGACCGGATGTCCTCCGCGGAGGATTGCAGCTGTCTGCGATTACCGTCAGCGAGCAGAAACGTCTTCCACATGTCAGCACCTACTGGATCAGCGCTCGGACATTGGTCTTTCCCTCTCTGGTCGGGTGCCTGAGCGTGGAGTCCCACTGGCTGTACGGTTCCGGGAAGCTCGCATCAATCGGGTGGAAAGTGTATGCAAAGAGCGGGTTCGGCACCGCCCCTCGCGTTCCGTCCGGGAGGGTGATCGTTACCTGCCTGTCCTGGATGACCTGGTGCGGGAGGACCGCATTTACGGCCCAGTCCCAATATGGGGCACGGAGATTCGCAGCCGCCTGGGTCCAGCGCTCCGAATCGGCTTTGTAGCCCTTGGCGATCTCCACAGCTTTCGAGTTGAGCACTTGCTGTGTGATTGTTATGGACGGGATTACGTGTCGGGACAAAACACGGACCTCGAAGAGAGCCACGTAGGGCCGGTGCCAGGTTGGGAAGAGGGTGGATCCATGGGTGCAATACCCTCCCCACTGCAAGTCGGGCGGTGGGCTTTCCGTGCTGCCGGATTCGTTCCACTGCACGTAAGGCAGCCCGTGGATGCCGGCAATCTGGAAGAAGGAGGTCACCCCTGCTTGGTTGTCGCTGAACATGGACGCTGCGGGATGGGTGCATTAATCGGCTGCATCTGGAGACCTGGAAAGACGCACCGAGAGCTTGGATGTACAGCGAAAACTGCTCCTCGCTCTTAATGAGCTCGTTGATTTCGAGACGGTTGGGTGCATCAGCTCCCTGAGTGTTTCCACCTCTCGCTCCTGTGATGACGAAATGAGACGACATGCTTGTACGATTCCTGTTGTGTATCTTGCGTTGGTTTCCCGTCCTGCTTTTATATCTTGGGCATTGCTTTAAGGCATTCCCACATACCCATAGGTAAATGAATGCGTTTCTTGAGTATGCATCTGCACCTCTACATAATGCGTTTCACCCATCCGTTCGCGTAGGTAGCTGTGCGTCACACTATACTCGAAGGGGACAGACGGGGACCTACTTGGATGCAACACTTGACACCGCCGACGCCCTTGGCGTTCCTGTCCGTCGGCGATTCACTCTCTCCATCCTCCGATCCCGGAGTACATGGGATGGGGTACGAAAGTGGGGAGCTGTCGTGGTACTCATCGAGTGTTCCGTAGATGCTGGGATCCATAATAGCGCCTGTGCTTGGAAAACATGGAAGTCTGTTCCAGGGCTTTCAGAAACTGATGCTTCACGTGTTTAAACGAAAATCTTGTACATGTCTGGAACTATAAAATCCAGTTACTCGTTGGTCACAATGGAAATGTTCATTCCCTCATTACAGCTGTATCCGCTGGAGATACACGAGATCCGACAGACTTGATGCTTGGCAGGGTACAATGAGGTGAGAATTCCGTGTGAATAATGTGACCAGGACCCCAGCAAGCTAGGACACATTCCGAACTGCTGCAGAATGAGCGGCCGGTAAGGTTGAAGTACCGGAGAATTAATCTGAATCAGGCTTCGATCTGGGCACTTTTGGATACGTCATACTCGGAAGAGATTTGAGGGTATGAAGCATCATGTGCAGACGAGAGCTGCTGTGCCTATACAGTAAATTTATAATTTGCCTGCCTAACACTCTTGTAAAACTAGGGGTCAAGTGGTGAGATGCCGGCATTCTTGGATAGGGAGTCGGGATATTTATGTGACTCCTCAGATTCTTATAATGCCTCAAGTGACCGTTTTCAATTCTATACAACGTGTAGTGAGAGGGCGCTGTATAAATAAGATCTTATCAATCCGACCTGATACGGGCTTGATTGTGACAATCTGTGACGCAGTGACTCAGAATCTCCCTCTACTTGGCGAAATTACCATGTATCACACTGCGTGGACCAAGAAGGGCTCCAGTCTACCATCTGACCGTATCAAACCAAACCCACCACCTTCGCAGAACACCAAGTCGAAGGGAAAGGCTGCTGCTCCACCTCCAGAGCCACCGAAGAGCAAGGCGGTCAAGCAACTGGAGGCACTGAGGAAAGGGCTGGTGTCCGCTGGAGCAACTCCGAAGCAAGATCCGAAAGGTGGATGTTTCTGCCAGGGTACGGCTTCTCCGCCCGACTCTAGACTCAAACTGAACTGTGCCAGCGCGAGAGCACACGCTCTCCAAGTACACCCCCATCTGCCGCCAATGCGCACTCGTCCTCTGCGAAGCGAATCTCCCATATCACGTCTGCCCAAGCCCCGGTTGCCATGCCCCGCTTCTGGACATCACGCAAAACGCCGCCCTCGTCGCCCGCCTCGAGGCCCAGATCGCCGACACACTGACGCGCGAAGCACTCGCCCGCGAACGCGCGGCAGACGAGGCCCGGCGCGCAGTCGGTGCCTTCCCCACCCTCGCACCCTCCGCCGCACCCTCTGCCGCCGCACCCCAAACGCGCACGGTCCTTTCGCTGAACTCGAAGACGAAGAAGGTCAAGGTCTCGTCGTTCACGAGCACACCTGTTTCGTCCAAGTCGCCGTCGAGAGCCGAGACGCCCGATGATGAGGTCGCGAATCGAGTCGCGCCGCCGCCGGCACAGGTCCCGTTCGCTCCGGCGTCCAGTGTCGATCCGCAGAGGCCGTGGAAGAATCTAGTAAGCGGAGAGGTGCTGTATATCCCACCACCCGACCTGGGCGACGGCGATGACGGAGCTCAGACCGGAGGGGGTGGACGAAAGCGAAGAAAGCGCAAGGGTGCCACAAAAGAGAATGAGCATCAAGCTGATCAGGGTCCGTCAACAGCACGGATAGTTTGACGACACAGAATATGAGACTAGTAGGATAAACGTATGTACAAGATGATATAAGACGTCATAGCAAAGCGAAGAGATGTGGCGATACATGAGTAGCAGATACAGAGGGAGTAGGAAATGATCAAGATACAGCGAAGAACCCTGGGAGAGAGTAGAGATTGACCATTACCCATCGTCATTATCGACAAAGATACGTTCAGTGGGCGGAGACGGCGGCGAGTGAGGCAGCATCGACGAGGGCGGCAGATACGCGGTGGGTACCAGGGGAGTGGCAAGATCCATGGACATCTCGCCTTCGAAGTCTGCATCCAGCAGACGATCAAGCGTCGAGGCCTCATCCACTGGGGCTGGGGCCTACGAAACGATCAGTCGGTGGTACAACGCGAAGACTTATAGTACTGACCAAGAGCAGAGTCATATTTGGATCAATCGCACTGGTATCGTTACCCTCCTGACTCTGGATCTGCTGTGTTAGCAGGGCCCTCTCCTCGTTGAAGCCTTCTATGGCTGTGCGCAGCACCTCGATCTCATCATCCAACTCAGCATGGCGCCTTGCGTTTGATGGCATCCCTGGGGAGAAAGAAGACAGCGACGCAAGGATGTCGGGTGAAGGATGCACGATTTCCCCGCGTCGAGCAGCTTCGCTCGGCCGGATGGTCAGGTCAGGATCTAGCACCATTTCTGTAGATGAAGTTTCACGAGGACTATTCTACAAGGGGAGTTAGCAATCCACAAGAATTAGATGGGAGACGACTGCGGCACTCACGACAGGTTCGCCTGAGGAATGATCGATCTCAGCCTCAGTCCTCGGAACACCGAGACCTGATGGATTTGCTTCAGTCGATTGCACGGCGGGAAATCTCTTTCTGGCTGGAGAGCGGCTCGTGCGCGGATGTGCACTCGAGGACCCGGCGCTCGATCTAGGTCTCGTGGTGTCGCTCATCGCTATCGTAGGCCGAGGAGACATCCTTCGGACAGGATTAACCATCCTATCCGCAGATGAATCATGCAGATTGCCCTGCTGCGAGAGTAAGCGTGCGGAGGATGCCATGAGAAAACGGTCGCGCTTACGGCAGAGGGCTCGCTTTGGACGATGTCCGCTTTTGCAGCTGTCCTCTGCGCGGCAAATCCATCGATTGCTGTGCCCAGAGCAGCTATGTCATGCGTAAGCTTTGCACGAATGCTGTTCTTTCTCCGATCATGCGTCCCTGCGGCCATGGGCGGAGGTCCGGACGTTACATGATCAGTGTGGTGTGTCACAAGCGGAGCAGACAACCGTGTCGATGCGAGCTAAGTGGAATCAAGACGAGTTCTCGATGAAAGAGGTAGAACGGCTCTCACGGCAGCTTCCAATCTCGCCACTTCTTCCTCTAACACGACGTTCTCTGCGACTGTCCGCTGGTATTCTTCTGGTATGTGTTCCACCACGACACTATGTGACCCACCCTCTGCCACCCGAGCAGAAAGCCTGGCCACCTGGGCATGGAGTCGTTCGATCTTTAACCCCGCAATCCGCCGTGTTTCTTCGTGTTGAAGTCGTTCGGCAGCCAGCGCATGCCGCAGAGAAGAAATGGTAGCTGACGCATAGACCCAAAGATCCGTATCGGAAGCGAGAGCTGGGATGGGCACCGCTGTTTGGAGAGGCTCTATTTCGGTAACTTGCTTAATAGACTGCAGGCAGGCAGAAGAGGTCAACATACCGAGCACATCGGGCAGGCGCAGCCGACTCGGGGCCCATGTCAAGGCACTGAAATCATCACGAGAAAGTTCAACTAAAGGAAAGGTCAGCAGCGGAACAGTTTGGGCGCGCCTGCTCGCACGCACTCTTCTCAGCCAACTCGACAACGACCTCACGCAGGTCATCCCGCTCAGCCTCTGCTGCGCGCACAGCATCCTTCAATCGCACAAGCTTGTTATTCAAACGCTCCCGAGCCTTGCGCTCGGTGGCGAGGTCTTGCTGCATGGCCTCAAGAGTGTCCAGGGCAATGGCGAGACGTTGCTGGTGCGAGGACAGTGCGTGTCTTACGCGTGAAATCTGAGGAGAGGAGACATTCTTATAAAGGTAAGAAATAAAAAGAGGGGGGTGAAAGCACACTTCTTCATCCTTTGTCGCTACCAGTCCGAGCAATTCCTTCTTCCGAGGTCGTGATGTCATATGTGAATAGACTAGTTGTTTCCAGTGAGGTGAAGTCAAGGGTACAGTGGATGCTGTTGTTTGTGAATAACATGGGCATGAAGATGATCAGAAGACGACGGTAGGCAGAATAGCATATGCTAGAGTCCGCCGATCATAATGTGCAGAGGAAAGAGATGGGACATGCCCTCGGTCACGGTACTGTCACAGTGTTTCATGTGACAAACCGTGGCTCTGATTCACTCCTAGCTAACAAGTTCCAACACGCACTCCAGCCACACCCGTGTTCACCCGTTCACCTAAGACAAGAAATTTAGCAGCGCTATATCTCAATATTATTCTTGCACTCCACTATCTCCGAACTTTCTCACGTTTACTTGAGACATGTTTCGGAAATCCTTGTACCGCTGAGATGGAGTCGCGTCCAGGTTCGCCTACCTTCCACCTCCATGTCAAATTCTCCAACGACAAACTCGGAGACCTCCGCTCTCCCTTCACTGGGCAGCAGCTTCCCCAACTTCACTCCGATGTATGTCGCGTCGGATTGGACAGATATCGGTGAACTGACGGCTCGTAGATTGAATCCTGTACTTTTTGGTTATCTGATCGCACTACTACTCTATGGAATGGCTATAACACAAAGCTGCGAGTCCTAGCCTCCCATTCCCAAGCCCATCACTTGACCATGCACCGTGTACACCAGGTATCTACCACCTCTGTTTTCCCAACGATCGTCTCGGAGTGAAGCTAGTAGGCGGGTCACCTGAGGAACACATGAATGCACTCATCTCACAATATTGATACAGCACTTTTCATCGTGGTGGCCGTGCTGGTCAATACGGCGCTCGAGGTGTGTGTCGCTCACGACTCATTTGGTCGCGGGTTTGGAGACATCCTGGCATTCACACACTACGACGTCTACGGGCTTATCGCCATAACTCTGGTCGGTCCCATGATAGCGAGTTGCGTACATCTTTTCTACGCATGGCGCATCGTGACACTGGCGCGAAGAGCATGGCCGGTGGCGGTTCTCATCGTCGCCGTGGGTGAATAGTCCTCTGTGACTTGCTGCAGTTAAAACGGGTCTGAATTAGGCGTCTCTCGCACATTGGGGAGCAACTTTTGCAGGCGGCATCATTGCTTACCTCCGCAGTATACACCAAGTTTCTCCGCCGCTCCCCGTCCTCAAATACCAGGTTTACATCTCATTGGTCGGACAAGCGACGGCCGATATACTCATCACAGGTGCCATGGTCTTTCTGGTCAGTCAGGATCGGTCTAGTCCCGACCTATTCAATGCCTGATCCGCATGCAGCTTCGTAAACAGTCCACGAAAGTCGCTCGAACGCGGTCAACCATCAACAGCCTGATCATCCTCATCGTGGAGACCAATCTAGTATCGACTCTGTTGATTTTGACTGGTATCATCCTCTATAGGACATCGCCGGTTCGTTCTTCCGCCCTCAACTAAACTGGGTAGATTTCGCTCAATTCCCTCAGGCTATTGCACCAGCCTCATTTTCTTGGGTGCCTATAATTTTGCCGGGAATGTGAACTAGGCTTGCTCTGGTCAACGAAAGACTCTGACGGCTTTCAGCTACGCCAACACATTGTTCATGATACTGAATAATCGAGCTCTGGAGAGATCCGACACGACACGACGCAGTCTGGTCACCGATTTCATCAGTCTGCAAAGCTCAGCGGCGCGTTCACTCAGTGATGCATGACATATGTAAATACAATGCCTCTTCAGTCAGTAATCTATCCTCTCCATTATACGCGAGACGCAACAGTCACGTTCTCAGTTCTCTTTGGACGGATTCCATGTTCCTTGAAGGCTCTGATCAAATCGCGAAGAGGTATGATGACCAAAAGTATGGCTAGAATCTGCGCAAAGCGAGGGTCAAGCCCGTGCCATAGAAGCCTTACGCGTGGAGAAATGCCTACCTGGCCGAATTGCCACGCAGCCTGAGCAGTCGTCGAGGGAAAATTGAACCTGATCAAGAGTTCGATATTCAGGACGCCGACGAGCCATAACATGGAGAGCGCAATCAGTCTAATCAGCAGATTCCAATCGACTGGCAACGCATAAGGCTAAAACAAAGTGTTCGAGAAAGTTTACGGCTGAGCAACAAGTCACGTACGTTTTTGTCGTCGTAGCTGGAAGGACGCCCAGGACGAGGTATCCCAACCTCCCCTGCAGTGTGCCGGGGTGGGCGGATCTTCGACTGAGACATACTGCGCGGGGGGGTCGTCATTGGATGCCGTTCTTCCGCGGACACGGGATTCTCCCCCGGCAGACGCTTGCCCGCCCGTTTCACTATCTGCGAAATGTTCGTATAGTCACGTATGATCATCCCAATAAATAAGACTGCAGAAACGCCCGTGATGATGAACGAGATGATGCGGCCGGTCTGAAGGAATGGAAACGGTCGGAACATCACGGCAGATGCCGACGTGTTGCACTGCACATTGTTCCCAAAAATAGGTGCGGTGATGAGGACGGAGAAGACAAAGGCGAGGATGATGGCGGTATGGACAAGGATGGCGGCGTTAAACACTGGCGCCTCCTTTGGCTTCTTGACGATCATCGGCCGGGAGAGGGCAAAGATGACAGCGGCAGATGACAAAAAGAACAGATAGAGCGTGACAATCGCGCTGCAGAGGCGTGAGAAAGAGATGACACGCGGAGTGTGGGACGCACTCTTGCAGGCCCATCTGCGCAGGCTCATGCATTCCCAGCCCGAGCCCAGTAAACGCTATGGCGACGTTCGTGAACATTAATGTTTCCATCGACCCCTTGACTTGATTAGGATCCTCCGAGCGCAAGACGAGGAACCCTGGAGTGCGTGAATGCTCGCTGACTGCATCTGCCAGATCATCGCACCAAGGATCAAAGTCTGCATGTAATAAGAGATCCGCACTCCTACTCCCCCGATATCCGTATTCAGCGAAATGCTTTCGAAATCACAAGACATAGAAAGTGGAAGAAGGATGAGGTGAGAGTAGAGGTGTGTAGGGTGTGTTGCTGCATCGCCCTGAAAGTCTACAAAACACGTTGCTGCACTGATGTTCTACGTTTTAATTTCTGATCCGGGAAGATTGTGCTCCGATCTCGGTCTTGCGTAGTCAACAAAGTCGTTTTCAGCTCTTAAAAGTCTAGAAGTGAAGTGATTAGCTGGGTTGAAGAATCGTTATCTTATCGGAATTTGATGAAAACTGCGCACATGGCATTCAGTTATCACGTCAGCTGGGATGATGGCACAATCACCGCGCTGTTAGTTTTCCCGAAGCCGCTGCCGACAGCGCAATAATTGTCTAAAATCGCGCTTCCGTCCTTCTTTCCTTCGTGATCGATCCTGAGGGACCCTCAAGCCCTTGAGCCTCACTTTCCCCCTTCTTCTGACTGCCCATGGCCGGTGACGCCCCAGTATCCCCAGCTACGACGGAAACGACACCCCTGCTGTCTTCCAGCACAGATGCATCAGGCAAGGTCGACAGCCCCCGCCGCTCCTGGCTTCCCTCGTTCAGCCCTTATCGAAGAGTGCTGTTCGCGACGATGCTGCTCTCGATGACTTTCTGGTTTGTGCGTCGTAGCTTCTCGACTGCCGTGTAGTCAGTCACTCATTTGGCACAGACAGCCACGCCGCTGTTGTATGTCTACCGTGTATTCGCATGCGACGAGTACTACGAATCCCATCCGCCATTCGAAGGGGAGGGCGACCGGTGTGCGATTGCGGACATCGAGAGGACGGCGGCGAAGGATATTGGGCTGATGGTCTCTTTGTCCGCGGTGAGTCTCGCCTGTCTTATACCATCGGGAATCGCTCATCGTCATTTCCCCCTAATCAGTTTAGCGGGATGGCCAATCTCCTCCTGACCACCTGGCAAATTCGCCATTGGGGACTTCGTTCTGCGATCGTGCAGCAAACGTTTTGGCCCGCTTTGCGCAATCTGACGCAGATCTACAGCAGTAAGTACGTGGCTCAGAGGCGGCACAATGTATTGAATCTCGCTTCAGCGTTCTTGGGCGGGCGAGCGGGGATCACAATTCTGCAGACGACGCAGCTTATCACCATTCTCGGTGGCGGACAGGGCTACATGCTTTCTGCCAACTCATACATCGCGGAGCTCGTCGCCCCGGAAGAGCGCACCGCCGCGTTCGGAGTAGTACAGGGGATTATGATGCTGGGCAGCGCTCTGGGTGAGTCGTTGTTTCGGCCCGCGAGCGGTGTTCTTACCTTGACTAGCGTACATCGGGGGAGGACTAGCTTATGATGTCAACATTTCTGCGCCGTTCCAGCTGACGTTCTTTCTTCTGGTCGGCAGCACCCTGTATACTGCGATCTTTCTCCCCGATATCAGGCCCGAGACGGCCGCGTCAGAAGACAACAAGTCTGGAAAATCATGGCTCGCATTCTTGGATTCGGCTGCAGTCTTCGGACCCTGGAAGTATGAAGGTAAAACCGGCCGTTTCTGGGGAGTTACCCTGCTCGGTATCGGATCATTCGCCAGTGTGCTGGCGACGGCATATGTGGTGAGTTCACAAAACCCCTTAGCGGTTGTGTGACTCACTCTCGCGCAGCCCTTGATGTTGCAACTGACAGCCACGAATCGGTTTGGGTTCCGGCCGATAGACAACGGATACCTGTTGGTTTTCACACGTTTGCTCGACCCAAATTTGACGTCTCTCAGGATGTCTCTCCACTCTTTTTCTCGGGCGCTATTCCTCACTTTCATTTTCCCTAAGATCATCGCATTCGGGAGAAAATGGTTCTCACCTACCCCTCCGATCTCGAGCGACCTCGAGGAAACTCCCGAAGAGAGCAGCACAAGTAAACCGCTGGCCGTTCTTCCAACGGACGCCACTACTTTCGAGCCATCCGTAGACGGATCACCCGAAACACCCGACCTAGCTGTCCCTGAAGCTACCGACATCAAACACGGGAGCGTGTTTGACTTGACGTTCCTCCGCTGGTCGATCATTCTCGATGCGTTCATGACATCGCTCGTGGCGTTCAACTCTCAGTCCTGGCACGTAATTGCGGCGGCTGGCCTGTTGCCGCTCGCGTCGGGAACTGCACCTGCTTGCAAAGGCGTGCTTCTCGACATGCTGCCTTCGTATAAGAAAGCCGACGCGCTGTCTGGCATTTCCCTGATCGAGGTCAGTGGAGTCGCCGCAAACTCACCTTTATTCAATCATGACTCAACCTCTGAACAGACCGTTGCGTATATCAGTACCGCTGGGATATTCAGCACCATCTTTGCTGTTCTTTCGGATATTGGACACCCGAACCTGGTTTTCTTTTGCAATGCCGGCTTGGCGTTGGTTGGCGGTTTGCTTTTGCTGGCTGTCAAATTCCCGAAGTGGAAGTTGGTGCTTTAAAGACGCCATATTTTAGATCAGATCCACCATAGGGTAGGTAGGGGATGTATTGTTCCCATATCCCTCCCGATATAGGGCTGTTTTCTGGGTACAAATAGACTTCAAGTCCCCCTCTGAAGGCCATTAAATCCTCCCCTCAAAGCACTGATGGGAGTTGATAGCAGCAGTGGCAAAATCAGTACACAGCTGGACATTTGTTGCACTCTTTACATGGCCAATTGGGCATCAGCCTGTGTGATTTTATGTGCTCTGGTAGTTACTATTTTGGCCTAGACAGTGTTGTAGGTTACAAAAGCCTGTATATATTGTTCTTTCTGCCACACAAAGAGCCAAACACTGTGATAGTGTATCTTGGTGTCCAATCTTTCTTTGACCTCCAACTGTTAGAATATCACATGCTAACTGTATGTGTACATTTGTTTGTATACAAATTGAGGAGTTTGTCCCTGTCTCTGACCGCCATGTCCTTGGCCCATAACCGGTGGTGGCTCCTCATGGTGGGGGCACATAGGAAACAGGTTGTCCTCTGTAAGCTGCAGCTTTACTACAGGGAAGACTGGGTGAAGGCAAGAGAGCCAGCAGGGGAGATCAAGCTTGTAGGTGCACCATCCAGTGACCAGGTGACCTTGAAGATATTGTGGAGACAGTATGAGTTGGTGCAAACTCTGAGCCAAGCCAGGGCCTTGTGGACAGGGGGAGGTTGTCACTCATCTCCTGTTGCACCTTGCTCATTCCAGATGCCTGCTACTTGATATCTCAACAATACTTAACCACTGTGCAGTAGAGCAAAAAGGGTCAGTTGTTGAACTCAATAGAAGCGTCCCAGATTCCAGTGGTAGAGCTTGAGGGACAAGCATGTTGTCTGGATGTCAGATGCATCAAGCCAAACTCAATCTCCAACCTTGGTGTCTAGGGCTGGGGTCCTCTGGCAATTGCAGTACTGCTTGTACTCCTCTTTTGCCTTCATGAGCGTGGATTTTGCTTCTGCCACACCAGAGATGTGGTTGTTGTAGCCAAACTCTGCAGCTGGAAGCAGCTCATCCCAATTGTCTTGCTTAGTATTGTTGCAGTTCAGTGCAGAACCACTTTGCACTGGTGTGCACCGTGAACTGCACCGTAGTTCAGGTTCAGGTGGCAGTGCAGTTCATGGCTCAGAAAATGTTGGATTTGCTTGCACTGCTGTGCACCAGTGCACACCAAAGTTGAAGGTTCCAATTATTTGAGTGTTCCTGCACTGCAATTCATAGTCGAGCTTTCTGCTTCACATCAACAAAATCACCCTGACCGGATTCTGTGGTCTTTGCATAGCCACCTGATAATCATAGCCTGATAATATAACATCCAGCTTGTTCCCAGTGTCAATGTAAGGCACTGATACAGGCAAGACAAGTCTTCACATTGCTTCAACTTTGTTTATCATCCAATAAAATCTTTTTCTATTGTCTCAGCCCTGTTTTGGATTCAGAGATTACTGTGAGGCAGTCTAATGCACTTACTCAGCCAATCAATGATTGCGGCCATGCCACTCTATCTGCTCTACTCATTATGGCACAAAGTGATGGACGGTCACACATGACAACAAGATGATTCTTCTCTTTCTGTCAATGGAATCTCAGTGTCTACTGCACAACTGCTCTCACAATTTTGTGTGGCCACCCCTTGCCTTCCACACTGCATCCACCCACTTGACCATCTTTGATGTATGCTTATTTATGTCACCAATGTCAAGCTTGTCCCATTCCTCCATCACCACCTTTTTTAGGCTCTCAAATGTTGTTGGGACTGGCCGGTGCTTGTGGATGCGCTTCTTGAGCTTGTGCCAGACAGGCTCTATTGGACTGAGGTCAGGGGAGCTGGATGGATGGGGGAATAAAGGGATTTTCCAGGCAGAAAACCACTGGTGCGTGCTCTTGGCCTTATGACATGATGCGCCATCCTGCTGAAAGCAAACTCCAGGTCGTTTTGCACAGAAATCATGTATAGCGTTGTCCAACACCCCTTCAAGAACCTGCACCCTGTAGCGCACTGTCTGCTTTGCATCTGACCATCCATTTCAAGAACAACAAGGCACAGACACCAAGCAATGGCTCTGACCCTAAAGCTGAGTCTGAGGAGGGAGATGCTGATCAGTTGGGCTCCGAGTTTGAGCATGCTGGGTTGATTGAGTCCAGTAAAGAGATGGATGATGGGGATTCAGATTCAGGAGATGAGGATTCAGATGCGAATGCAGAGCCCAACAATGGAATGTCAAAACAAGCTCACAAGGCGAGCTTCAAGCGCTGAGAGGCCTACTAGGACTGCTGCCTTGCCAAAGCTGTTGATCAACGTCGCCCATTTGCCAAGCCTCCCAACAAGCAATCTGCTGCATGGGACGAGACTCCTGAGATTCTTGACACAAACAGTGTTGTGGACGGCCCTGGCTCTATCACTGACAGGACTGGGTTGGCCTGTTGGTCACGGTTCAAGGCAATTGTGAAGCACCATTGCGTAAGTGATATACAGTCTCCTCTGCTTTATTGCGTGGCCTAGCCTCTTGGTTCAGAATAATGTAACTGCATCATTGATGAGGACAGGCACCACAGAGGAGATATCCCATAACCTCAAGGTTTATGGATGCTTTGTTTCCAACTGTCTATGTGTGTCAGGGCCGTGTACTGAGATTCTGTCCAGGTCATGACAAGCCTTTAGGCTCTGATTGATGACACTCAATAAGCACCTCCTGCCAAGTGGTCATTGAAAGCAAAGAAGAAGGCTGATATCAGAAAACAGGCAGGGTTGCAAGCACGCGACGCTGCTATGCAAAACTTGGTTGACATATCAAATCTCATGGACATGACACAGATCAAAGGATTGACTTTCCGCAAGAAGCAGGGGCAGCAAAGGTGTGTCACATCTTTTTCAGTTTGTATCCAGTACTAAGCTGTACTAGGCGCCCTCAAAATCCTCTTCAGGACACAACAAACAAAGAACAGGCTGACAATCCCCATCTCAAGAAGCATTGCCAAGAGATGAATGCTATCTCACAAGTGCTCAAGAGCCGCAGGCAGATTCTTGATCAGAATCTTGAGGATGCAAAACCTCATGGCAACGAGCAACATCAAGAGATCATTGCGGGACAAGACCAGATTGCTGAGTTGCAGGAAAAGTTAGCTGATGTTTGGGTAGGTTACTTGAGCAGGTAACTGGTTTGCAAACGGACGCACAGCAACAGCGCAACACAGAAAGCTCAGGACGTTTGGATTGCACCACGGAGATCCTTGCAAAAGCCTTAGCGGACAGAAAGTAGTTGATAGCAAATCATCAACAGCAGAAATACAATATCTTGCACTGTTTTCTAGTTACTGTACATTCAAATCACTTGTTGTCTCCTTCCCCATTTCCCCAAATCTCGACTTCTCCAACAGGTGATGTGAGGCACCATGCATCAAGTTCAGCATTGGGAATCAGGTCACCGCGCAAATATTCACCAAGCAAGGGTGGATCACAGTCAAAGTACTTTGAGACTTGATTTCCATGCAGAATGGTGTGGCAATTGCAGAGGAGAACAAAGACCAGATAATACAGCCCCACTGGCTGAAGTAGAAGCTTTTTATTCTGTGCAAAATTCAGGAATGCGAATTGTTGACCAATCTCCTTGAACATGCACTCGACCGGTGATAGGCTGGCTACCAGGCATGCTCTGCCCCAACTCTATAAGGGCGTATTTTTACACTTTTGCAGATTTTACTCTAGAACCATCCAGTGTATCATGTTGCAGTTGCCAGTGTTGCACTCAGTAGGACTCAAGGATCTGCTGCCCAGTCGATGACTGTGGATAGTGTCGACAATGGCAAGGCAGTCAGATCACTACTGTGGAATTGGTCTTATAAGTCTACACCAGACTCAGGGCTATTAGTGGCGGACACTTGTGTCACAGCAATTCCTCAAAAGGGATGCTCTTATTGTGGCAACTCCTTGAAAGGGTCATTCTCTGCAGATGGGAACTCGTGCTGGAAGGCTTAGCAATGCGTGACGTGCTCACAATATAATGACTACCACTAGACAGGACTTGGCATCACAAGATTGAACCAATCTTGTCATGGCAACTCCCATCTTTGGGTTGGACGTTCCTTTGGATCACACCACAGCAACAACTTGTCACATGCCATGTTCTACTTGATCACGGGATATTGTGGACATGTTGCGGTGACCCTTCTAAGTGTCACGATGAGTTGCGCCCATACACACCAAAAGTGGCATGGACTAGATCTGTGAACCAAACCATGTGAGGAACGACTGGCGTGCCTAGGGACATACGGCTTCTTGGGGTGCCCACGTTGGACTCACTTGCCAAGACATATCAGTTGGCCAATCCAGCACGTCGTATTCCAAAAGTATGACGCGGTGGGTTGACCACATCAAAAGTACTATATGGACAATGGGGCGGGGTCTTGATCAGTCAGGACCTGTCCAATCATTCAACTTTTTCATTACCATAAAAAGCAACTGATCTTAGATAGCGTAGCTACTATGCAGTTGTACAGGACTTTACTAAGCACCATCATAGACAGTATAAGTAGCGCGACATTTCTTTGTATTAGGAAGCTTTCCCCTGGACTGTGAATCATACCCATATCGGATTGTTTTGTACAATTGGTGTGTCACATGATTCCTCCTTAAGAAGTTCTATTACCCCTGCCCGGTCACAACAAGTTGCTCCCTGAGCACTTTTAGCTAATGTGATTTGAGTTTTGAGTTGAGACATCAGAAAGTTGGATTCACTGCTTTGGGTTTTGTTGCAGCACTTTGTGCTGCTGCTTTGGGTTTTGTTGAGATTGTTTCCACACTTCTAGCTTGGCAGTGCATCAACTAGTTGTGCTCGGGTAGTTTTGGTCAGTTGGCAGTGCGTCAACTTGACATTTTGGTTCTACTAGTTGGCAGTGCATTGACTCAGTATTTTGGTTGTATCAGTTGGCAGTGCGTCAACTTGGTATTTTGTGCTTTGCGTCGCCATCTAGACGCTGTCGCTACAAGGGATCTTAATACTTTGTATGAAGCTCTGACTTGTGATATTGTTGGTTGTGGATTGGATTAGTGTTGGTTTTGGTCATAAAGAAGATATTGGTTGAGACACCACTGTTTGCTATATATAAATTCTTGTCGTTGACTTCGTCTTCCATGACTACTGGATCTGCGTCTATTGAGAGTTGTGATACTGGTGCTCTGTCCACCTAAAGCCCTCGCATCTTTCACACACTGAGAAGCTGATTACGAGGAGTGTGAACGTGTTTATATTTGGGTTTACTTTCATAGTAGATTCACTTGTGAGCGCGCCCTCAGCATTTCAACGTGACCACGCACGTGACCCACTGCGCCCTCTCTGCCGACCCATGCCTGCTCACCTGTTGATCACCCGGCCTCCTCCTCCTCCTCTGATCCTCATCTCCATCCGTGCCAACACCCACCCTCTCTCTCCTTCTCCTGGCCATCTCCTTCAAATCCCCACAAGTGGTCTAGCCAAGCCCGATTCCTTGCACCAGGGAGTGCTACTGCTGTACACTCTCCTCCCCCTCTACTTTGGCCTTCTCCCCACGGATGTGGTCTACTGCCATACAGGCTTGTACCAGATGCCCTTGCGCTCATCCGCACCACCCCTCTTCCCAGTCAGGCATCGGTCCTTGCCTCCAATGTCTCCACTGGCTGGCTCAGCACTGGCCTAGCCACTGGGCTCCTCCAGTGTGGCCTTCCACTGTTGGTGTCTCAGGAGCTGGCTATCACTGGCCTCTCTGAGCAACTCACTATCTTATCTGCGTTTGTCATTATCTACTTGTCATCTGCCATTGTTCCATGGCAGTGATATCCCATCATTATCAGTCACTTGTCACAGCTGACTATATAGTGTGACACCTAGGCACATGGATCCTTGAACCGTTCTCTAAGGATCCCCCTCTGTGCTCAGGTGAGTAGTATACCTCTCTTGTATTTGATAGTCTCTAAGAATCCCCCTCTGTGCTCAGACTCATGTGAGGTTGTTGTGTGCTGTGTGCTCTCTTCCTTTGGGCTGGTAGGAGTTGCCCTTACACAAAAAGAGAAGTGAATTCAAAGACTGGAGAATACAACAAAGTAGCTACATTGTTTATACCCAAATCCAGTCTGAGTCATATCTACAACTAATGAGTCATGAGACTATGTACCCCATGGACCGCTGGTCATGGGTTGTAGTAGAACCTTCTGGAGCATATGTCACACAGCCTCAAATTGATAAAGATGATCCCCTGGACCCCTAGCCCAGACTGTCTGATGCTGTGATCCGTGATAAGATAAGATGGTCAATGGAAAGATGAAAAAGTGATTGAATTATGACATTGCTCCCCCAGAAGATCCATATACAGTAGAACTGCTAATAGGGAATAATTTTGGGAAGGCCCAGGCCATCCCAGATTTGTATTCCTCATCACAGATATTCCATATGAGGTGTCGAATTCAGTGGTGAAGGGCAAAACGGGGTAACCAAATTGTATTCCTTATGACCTTTATTCCTTATCACAGTATTCCGTTTGAACAGTTCTACTGTACCATTATAGTGGGGGTAACTGAGGTGTGTTGTGTCAAAGTAACAGCTCAGTTGGCCATACAACCAGTGCGTAAGCACGTATGACCCATCCCTCTAATATATGTAGATTATCTAACTGATTGCCTCACTACCAACCAAGTACTTATACTGTGCTGATGTTGTTTCTACACCTCAGTTGTGCAAGCAGCCTGCTTGCTTACGTACATCACTGATCACGACCGCATATATTCTCTCTCTCTACCATCTCCTCTACGATATGTATTGCTCGCCAATACAGCTTGATCCAGATTGATCTCTCATCTTGACGGCCCTTTTCTCCTTTAGTGTTCTCACCTGGTCCTAACCGGGTGAGTTTCCAAGTTGTTTGCCTACCCTGTGCACCCAACCCAGGTATGTCTACTGATCCTTATCCCTACTGCTTACTTATACACATATTAGCTATATCTTGGCTAACAGGTACAATACACAATTGTTTGCTTACTCTGTGCACCCAACTGAGCTATATCTTGTCTAACATGTTGCATGGTCTTGAAAGTTGGCAAAATGTCTCCAAGACCACTTATAACCTTCTTATTCCAGATTTCGTGGAGATGGTGTGGTACACCTACTTTGGTAATAAACCTTATTACAGAACTGGCGAAGGTCCAGACCGAACATTCTGTTATCTTTGATGAAACATGCGCACATGACATCACCTCCTCACATCAGCGGCAAGGATGATCCAATCACCATGCTATTGGTTTTCCCGAAGCCGCTGCCAACAGCTCTGACAACAGTGCAATAATAGTCTGTCATCGCGCTTCCTTTCTTCCTTCCTTCTGATCGAGCTTTGGTGCCATGGAGCTCTTAAACTTCACTCCTGAGACCCCTCCTGCTTCTCACCGCCCATGACCGGCGACGCCTCAGTACCTCAATCTGCGACGGAGTCGACGCCTCTTCTGTCCTCCAGCGCAGATGCATCGAACAAGGTCGACACCCCGCGACGCTCTTGGCTTCCTTCGTTCAGCCCTTATCGGAGAGTGCTGTTCGCGACAATGCTGCTTTCGTTGACGTTTGGCTTTGTGCGTCGCGATTTCCGGCTGCAGTTGCATGCTCAGTCGCTCATTCATTCCAGACCTCCACGCCGCTCATGTTCGCGTATCGTGTCTTCGCATGCGACGAATACTATGAGTCCCATCCGCCATACGATGGAGAGGGTGACCGGTGTGCGGTGGCCGAAATCGAGAAGACGGCGGCGAGGGATATCGGAGTGATGGTCGCTCTAACCGCAGTGCGCCCCCCTCCTGTCTGGTCTCCTCGTGCACCGCTCATAAGCATCATTCCCATCCCAGTTGAGCGGAATGGCCAATCTCCTCTTGACCACCTGGCAGATCCGCCATTGGGGACTGCGCTCTGCAATCGTGCAGCAGACATTTTGGCCCGCTTTGCGCAATCTGACGCAGATCTACAGCAGTGAGTACGGGGTTCATCGACGGTGCGGCTTCTTAATCACATCTCAGCATTCGTGGGCGGGCGAACGGGGATCACAATCCTGCAGACAACGCAGCTCATTACTATTTTCGGTGGCGGGCAGGGTTACGCGCTGTCTGCCAACTCGTATATCGCGGAGCTCGTTGCCCCGGAAGAGCGCACCGCTGCTTTTGGAGTAGTCCAGGGGATTATGATGTTCGGCAATGCGCTGGGTGAGTCGTTGGTTCGGCCCGCAAGCGGTGTTCTAACCTTGACTAGCATACATCGGAGGAGGACTAGCTTATGACGTCAACATTTCTGCGCCGTTCGAGCTGACGTTCTTTCTCCTCGTCGGCAGCACACTATATTCTGCAATCTTCCTCCCGAACATTAAACCTGCAACCTTGGCTTCAGATGACTCCAGGTCTACAAAATCATGGCTCTCATTCTTGGACTCGCTTGCAGTCTTCGGACCCTGGAAGTATGAAGGTAAAAACGGCCGTTTCTGGGGAGTTACCCTGCTCGGTGTCGGATCATTCGCTAGTGTGTTGGCCACGGCATATGTGGTAAGTTCGTGGATCGTATCAGCGACTGTATGATTTACCCCTGCGCAGCCGTTGATGTTGCAACTGACGGCCACAAATCGGTACGGATTCCGACCAATAAACAACGGATACCTGTGGGTTTTTGATTTTCTGCTGGACTCAAGTTTGATGGCCTCCCCAGGATGTCCTTACACTCGCTGTCTCGGGCCCTGTTCCTAACTTTCATTTTTCCTCGGATCATCGCATCGGGGAGAAAATGGTTCTCACCCACCCCTTCGACCCCGAGCGATTTGGAAGAAAGACCCGGAGAGACCAGCACAAACAAAACGCTGGCCGTTCTTCCAACGGACGCCACCTCTTTCGAGCCATCCGCCGACGGATCATCCGAAACACCCGACCTCGCTGTCCCAGAAGCTACCGACATCAAACACGGGAGCGTGTTTGACTTGACGTTCCTCCGCTGGTCGATCATTCTCGATGCGTTCATGACATCGCTCGTGGCGTTCAACTCTCAGTCCTGGCACGTAATTGCGGCGGCTGGCCTGTTGCCGCTCGCGTCGGGAACTGCACCTGCGTGCAAAGGCGTGCTTCTCGACATGCTGCCTCCGCACAAGAAGGCCGACGCGCTGTCCGGCATTTCCGTGATCGAGGTCAGCTCGGGTCGAATCCCCCAACCTGCAGTCCAATACTGATGTCACTTTGCCACAGACCGTCGCGTACATCACCACCGCGTGGATTTTCAGCGGGGTCTTTGCCGTGCTTTCGGACATGGGACATCCAAATGTCGTGTTCTTTTGCAATGCCGGTTTGGCGCTGCTGGGCGGCTTGCTTTTACTCGCAATCAAATTCCCGAGGTGGAAGTTGGCGCTCTAAAGACGCTCCCATCAAGAAATACATTCGCCTTAGAGTAGTAGCGCACATCGTGTCGCTACATTTGGCTACGAGCCCGGCGTGTTCTGGCTGATGTCATATTTAGTCATTCAACACCCGATCTTCTAGGTTTGGCCATTTTGACCAGCTATCCCAGGAATCTTTCGATAGCTTAGCTTAGAATTGAAGTCCCCAGACGAGATGCACAGTCATATCTCATTGAACCTTGCGTTTTAAACAGCAGCTACGGGTCGTCAGCTGGACCACTGCCCGATTTCGATTAATCTGACGAGTGCAGTTTCAGACCTCAGTGAAGAATCGACTGTAGATCACATGCAGGACATAGACAGAACTCCGGAGAACAAAGACCGAAAAGTAAAGAGAGAGATCGGGTCCCAGACTGCTACTTGCGGCTACAATGAGGGTCAAGATTCAACTCAATGACGCCGAACAATCACGCTCGCGCTGGCACATCATTACAAGGCATCTAGTCATGAGCAATGTCCCTTGATCGTTAAGAGGTGGACTGTATGTAAGTATGTATCCGAGAGACATGAAACAGAGATAGCATAGTCATCGTTAAGAGCAAATCCTTCAGCTCATATTCGCAAGGAAGGCGCCGCTTGAACTACGGGCGCGGTTAGCTGGCCTAGACAGCCCCGGACTTGGCATGGCCTCCCGAGGAAAGGCTTCCCATGGCAACACTGGCGTACCATCCGGTGAAGCCAGGCTCCCCGGCGTGCCATCGAAACCGTCGTCCAAGCCACCAGGGGTTCCGTCGAATTCGCCTGGCGTTCCATCGAATGTTTTGGATGGGGCAGCGACGAACGCGCCGAAAGTGGGCGACTCGGGGCCAAGCGTGGATGACGTCGCACTGGATTTGGACTTCTTGCTCTTCGTCTTGCGAGCCTTGGGCGGGGGTGGCTGTAGTGAGTGTCTGGCGAAGCCCGACAACGGAGACGGGGAGTAGGGAATGGAGCCGGAGCCTGATGTCGAGCTGCGGCCGCTGGAGCGGGACTGCGAGCCATTCAGGGACGCTCGGGGAGCCGCGCGAGCGTAGACTGCGCCATCCAGATCTGCCTCCCCTTCCGGATCTTCATCGACATGCGGCACCATCTGGGGCGTTGGCATGAATTGATGAGAGAGATCGCGTGGATCAGGCGACGCGGCGGGGGATTCGTCTGCGTCGAAGAGAAGCTGGTTAGAAGAAGCCCCGCTTTCCCTCAGGGCCCTAGCCAGTCTCTTCATCTCCTTCCTCGCCTTCCTCCTCGCCCGTCGTTCGACCTGATCCTCGGTGAGCGTCTCCGGAGTCGGGTCCATCGCCGCACGCGACAACAGCGCCGCGGTCGACTCCTCCGAGTCCCTCCGGCGCACGCTGCCCTCTGCGCGGTGCAGCGGATCCGCGCTGCCCGCCGGCAGCTGCACGCCCCCGCTCGCGGGCTTCCTGCCCACCCCAAATAGATTCCAGCCCCAAAGGGAGATGTGCCGGGGCGTCCGCGGCGGGACACGTGCCCGGCCACGCGGACCCAGATGCGAGTGCAGACTGATAGCGTCAGCATCCGCCGCAGCGTCTATGTCAGCCCCGTCTCCATGATGCCTGTCCTCGTCGCGTAGCAGCCCCTCGAGTTCGTCAGCCCGTGCACGCCGCGCGGCGATGCTCCAGTCGGGCCCGAGGGGGGCGTAGTGCTGCTGGCCGTCCGCGTCGTCAGCGGGGCTGGACCGGCGGGGGAAGCAGGGGATGGATGCACAGCATGATGAGACTGCAGCACGGAGCGTGTCGTTCCACGATGGGCGGTCCATTGTGTCGGGGACTGGGTCCTCGAGAAGCCGGGTACGTTCGAGACACCTCAGTCGTTACGAATGGATCAACGGCAATGGTGCGGTCGTGCCTGAACAGCCAGAAGTTAGGCGCAGGATCGACCGGTTTCAAGAAGAGAGCAAGATAGAGAGGGAGAGCGTGATGCTCAGGCAAGAGAGGGATGAGAATGGGGAGAGCGAGAAAGGACCGCTGATTGATTGGTATGTGATCCATACGATTCTTTTTGCACAGAATCCTGCCGAATTTGGGCCGTTTGAGCAAAACTCTGGCGGCACCCGCATCACTGTTTCACTACCTTCAGCTTCAAGAACCCACCAGAATATCCCGGCAAGTATTGTCTAGAACGCGAAGCATTGAAATTTAGCTTCTGTGGCCGCGGTGTAAGGGCAGGACTGAGACTCGGATCCTGGAACTTTGAAAGCTTGAAGGGAATAGAATTTCACATGCCAACCTACTGTCTCTGCCGATTATTGCCGGAAGGGTGTGAGTCTGTAGATAGGGGCGCATTTCCCACCCATTATATCACGGAGCAGAAAATATCATGCTCTGACACAGCTCACGTTGACTGCCTAGATTTGAGGAGACTGTGATTCTTTCTCTCAAGCATAACTATCGAGTCTGCCTTGATTGGGTGAATGAAATTTAGCCTCGGAACAGTGCCTGAAGAATCCAGGTCGATCTGAATGATTTAAGAATCGTTTCCTGGAATGGGGTGAGGTAAGCCACGGTCGAGAAGAACCGATATACTTCATGGCATTGGGCAGAGAACAAACATCGTTGCTAGTGAGAGATGATGGAAGGTCACAAAAAAACTGTTGATGCCTTGGGCAAGTTGAAAAGGGAAGATTACTAGCTACAAACACTCTAGAATTTTTCCTCCGCCAGCCATCTCTGCAACATGTCCAATGACTCCTTGGGTTTGTCATACGGCACCTGTGACTCGTGAATAAAACGAATCGACGAAAAAACAAAAGACTGCTACCATATGTCCTGCAGCGTCGACGGTCAAAAACGTCAGGCCCTTGGCATTGCGCACCATCCCGGCCGTCGCATTCGTGCCTTTGACCGCCCACGGACGCAGAGCCTGTGCGGCGAACTCGTCCTGCCCACTCCACTCCATGGCGTTCGTCCAGCGCTCGTTGCCGACCCAGTTGCAGATCCAGTCGTACGTCCCGACGTAGATCAGCACGCGCACGCCCCGCTCGAGCAGGCCCGCGATGTAGTGCTGCGTCGGATGGAGCATGTCGAGCTGCGTGGTGAAAGCCATGTTCACAGTGTTAGAGCAGGACGAAAAATTCATCGGAACTAGCGGAGAGACTCCCAGCGCGTCACGGGTCGATGGTGCGGACAAGAAGTTGCTGATGTGTCTTCGGAACGAGCTTAGTCCAGGTACTGATGGGCTGGAATCTGCTCACTCACTTGGTGACTGCGTAGCACAGGCTCTCGGACATCTCTTCAGGTGAGCAAGACATGGAGATGTCGTATGGGTTGAGATCTGCCCCAAATGAGACTGTGAACATTTTACGGACGGGATAAATCGCACTCAAATTCCAGAATGACGATCCGATGTGGTCGTTGCAAAATTCCGCCGCAGATTCACAGTCGATCGGGTCAAACCGGTCCACACACGACTTCCTCAGCCGTTCCTCACAACGGGGGATCTGGATATGCTCAAGATAAGAAATAAAGTTGATCAGGTCCCTCACCATCTGCTTCATTCGCACACAATCACTGCGGGAGATGATCTTAGCAGAAAGTTTACATTAACCAAAGCGCGTCACTCACCCAATTGACGAGACCGGAGGAACCGAGGCAGAGGTGCACTGCATCTCAAACGATGAGCTTATCTGATGATACATATCCGTGAGACCATTTCCTATGCAGCTCAGTCGTCGTGCCTCTTCCAACGCAGAATAAACAAACCGATCATGACCGATTTCAAATTGATGGGCGTGAGTCCGGCCTCGATGAGCTTGGCGTTCTGATCGTACACCTCCGCAGCAAACACCGGGATATATCGGCCCTGAGCGCAGCAGATTATTAACACGTCAGCGAGACGTAAATCTTAACGCACAGCGTACGATTCACCGGCCATGTGGAAGCCACGGCCCTTGAACTGGCTGAAATGTTCGAAAAAGACGAACACGAAGGCAGCGATGTCCTTCGCGGCTTCCTCCGTGGTGCTCTGGGAGACTGTGAGAGATCAAAACACAGTGGAGTGGGAAAACGCTCACCACAGACTCGCCGTATTCCGCGTATGAGTAGCCCACGCCGACAGGCTGGTCGATGAAGAAGATGTTCGCGTTGGTGTTCCAGCTGTCCGGGTGGTATTTGGGTCCGTTCTCGTCCAAGATGCGACATGGTCCTGCATGGGGATTCGGAAAAATGAATAAAACAGCCCATAATATGTCAGCTCACCGAGTTCCATGAACAGCCCGAGGCTCGAGCTACACCCCGGACCGCCGTTCGTCCAAAATATCACATCGTCGGTGTCAGGATCGCTCCGACTCTCGAAGAAGTAAAAGAAAAGATGCCGGGCCTCGACGTCGATATAACCCGTGTACGCCCTGTGCAGGTCGTTAGCGCTTACGTCGAGGCAGGCAAACCAAGCACCCCACGCACGCGGCAGACCCGTCGCAAAACGTGCTCTTCTTGATGCGCACGCTGACAGCGGGAAACGCCGGGTGCGAACTCAGGGTGGTGAATCCGTCGGACGAGAGGGAGCTGAGGCTGTTCATGGGGGTGAACAGGCCTTCATCGTATCTGCAACGAAGGTCGTGTCGTTATCCAACAGAGGCTGTACGGAAAGACGCACTGTTCAACGGCAGGCGGGAAGGCAGTCTGGGAGCCGAGGAACGCTGCGCGCGCGCCGGTCAGGGCGACGAGGAGGAAGGACGAAGAGAAGTGCATCGGCGTTTTCCGACTGCGACACCCATGCACATGGGTCGCGATAAGCACGTGAGTAGGAATGCCGCGGCGAGCCCCGGAACCTAAATGTGAGTTGATTCCTGGGAATAGACAGGAACGGCCTGGAACGGCGGACGGAGGAAATGAAGATCGTTGATAGAGCGTTTGAAAGTCGGTAGAAGGGATACACGCCCATCCCGTCTTCACTTGAAAATTAAGTACGATTGGTTGCTGCGAACTTCGGCCAACTCGGGTGCAGAGGACCGACAGGTGGCGGTGCACCATCGTCAAGCTTAGACACGTGAGCGTGACGAGACCATTTTTTTGCTTTCCCCACGACAACGACATGTCCGCTGTAGCTCGCGCCGTCCGCACCTTCGCGTCCTCCTCCCGCGTCAGCAGCACGCCTGCCGCCGCCAATGGTCTTGCCGCGTGAGTCACACTCTTTCCTCTTGCTGCTCCGGGCTGGAAGCTCATCCCCAAATGCGCAGACAGAAGAATGTCTTTGTAAGGCATACTCGATTGAGCTTGGGCGCTCAGGGACTGACGTGTGGCCTCCCCCCTAGTTCGACATCACCATTAACGCCAAGCCAACGGGGCGTATTGTGTTCAAGCTCTTCGATGAGCAAACACCACGGACCGCCAAGAACTTCCGCGAGTTGTGCACAGGTCAGAATGGCTTCGGGTACAAGAACAGCGGGTTGCACCGAATCATTCCCCAGGTATGTCGTACCCGTGGAACCTGTTGTTCTTCGCTGACCCGTCCGCGCAGTTCATGTGCCAAGGTGGAGATTTCACGAACCACAACGGGACTGGAGGGAAGAGCATCTATGGGGAATACTTCAAGGGTGAGTGGAGCAGCCTATTATTTCACTGTGGCAATTCTGATGATTTTTTTTCGTATTCAAGATGAAAACTTCGAGGCGAGGCACAACCGTCCCGGTCTTCTAAGCATGGCAAACCGAGGGCCCCACACGAACGGATCGCAATTCTTCATCACCACCGTCCCCACACCTCATGTAAGTGTCGGCTTCTCTCCACGTCATTGATATCTCTCCAACACATTCGTTTAGCTGGACGGCAAGCACGTGGTATTTGGTGAGGTGCTTGAGGGAATGAACGTCGTTGAGGCGGTCGAGGCCATGGGCTCCATGTCCGGAACACCCAAAGCGAAGGTTGTCATCGCCGATTGCGGTGTCGTTGAGGAATCGTAGACTTTCCTAACCCCTCGTATACTTATCTTTACCTAGCCCTGCTCTCAAAATAATACGGCGCACAGTTGTCACATGCCTATCTCGATGCATCATCTACTCTGCGATTATATAATATAGTAGTACACTACCCTTCCACCGGTGGGACTTGTGGCAATGGCCGCCTCATGGCGTGGGGCAACACAATGTCAGATCCCAGAACCAACTGATCGATAGATTCGAGCTGCTTCTCCTTCCCCGATCCTGCCACGAACACGAGCGATGGCTGGTACATCGGCAACGGGGTCTGCGACCTCAGAACACTTCTTCGCAAGTCCACATCTTTGTAACTCGTACTTGAGTGGCGGGAGACATACGTCGGCGCCCTCGACGACCAGGCCTTGGTCGAGGCGGTTCGCACCGTGCTGGCACTCGATATGCGGCGCGGCCGAGCATCGCCGTGTGGAACTCCACCGTAGAGGTTCTGCGGCTTGGATCGCCGAGACGACCGAACCGACGATCGGGATTTCCTCGAGGACGAGTCGCGCTTCTGCTCTGCACCACCGCCGAACATCATCTGCCTCGTCGCAGCAACGTCATAGAAATCTGTGCGCTCCAACGTATACCCGGAATGCGCCACCGACGAGGTGGACGACCACGATGGGCTGGGAAGCGGTTTGCGTGGCGTGAACCGCGGCGTGCCTTTCCCCGAGTCGGGGTGTTGCCGGCTGTGGCTGGTGTTTCTAGTCACTTGCCGACGAGCCACAGGTGGTGGTTTGGCGGGGATCTGGATCTGCAGTACCGGAAGGTTCCGAGGACCTGGATCACGTGTGGGCCCGTCACGCTGTGTGGACTGCCGGCTCCTCGGTTCTGATATCGGTAATGGGCTGAGATGGGGGGTGTAAGACGGAGCTTCCGGACTCTGCTCTGGAGCGCGGCCGTCCCCATCGCTATCCATCTTCTCCTCCTCTTCACGGGGCGACAGCGCATCTGCTGATCTGCGATCCGTAGTGAGAGAGGCCCCACCTTTCTCACCTAACGAGAGCGTCGACTCGGGGGAGATCACCAGCACATCTGACGGCGTCCATAGCGGCGCAGGGGCTCCAGAGGAGTTCGCGAGTTTCGAGGGAGATGCGCCGCTGCCAAGACTGAAGGGACGCACGACCCGGCGGGACCGCCGCTGTTTCAGCTTCCAGCGGGCCGCGGTGCAGACAACGAGCCAGAGTGCTAATAACGGGATCGTGATCCCACACGCGATCGCCGCACGGCGGTTTAGGCGGCTCGTACTGTCGGCGGATGTGTCGTCGGGGGCGGGTGCGGGGGATGGGACGTTCAGGGTGAGCGGAGGCGCAGGGCTGCCGGTCGACGGAGGCGCCGACGATGCTGGCAGAGAGCGCGCGAGTTGGGCCGGAAAACAGTACGTTCTTCGGCTGGTGCAAAGAATGGGAGCGAGAGAGAAGGGTGCCATGGCTCGGTCCGAGTCCCAGTGCTTTATTATCAAACGCCGTTAGCGAGTACCGATGCAGGCACTTACTTGGTGGTCTTACCTGGATATCTCCTGTGAATCTCGGCTGCTCAGCCCGTTTCGCGGGGGTGTGAAACCCAAGCGCACGAAGTGACCGGAGGGAAAGTCAGCACGCAACAAGGCCTGGGGCGTGTCCATAATACTTGACGTCTTTCACTGAAGACTGTGATCTCACAATCACAAAAGACTTGGGGATGGCATGTCATGATAGAGATGCAGGTCTGTTTCAGATTCTTTCCACATTGCGTGGGAAATAGTGTTGTTTCTTGTGGTCCGACCTAGCAAGGATGATGGGATAAGACGATTCCCTGGTAAGGGGCGTGCTGCCTGACTCGTAGGTCTGGTGTGGAAACGAGCAGGTTTGAAAATCGGTTCCGAGCAGCAACAGGTTAAAAGTGCTAGTGGTCAAGCATCGCATTCATCATGCCGGCACCGATGGCCTTGAACGCTTGACATGTCACCCAGGGGACACACAAACGTGGCTTCCCATTCCAAGACTATTATTTATCACCACTCTCCGAGCATAGGATGTGCTCATGCTTCAGATTCTTGGAGCGTGTATTTGATACTACGTTCACTCCGAGTGCGTTGCCTGTCTAATGCCCCAGCGCCTCGGCACTTCGGGTACCTCTGAACTGCTGCTAGTGATCGCATCTGCCAGAAACTGCCACCCACAGTGCGCTAGCCCCCAGTTGGCCTGACTCACATCACCCAATTTCGCCACGCCTCGATCTCCCGGACCCGTTTCGCAACGACATCATGCACGTCCACACCCCAGCTGTTCTCTCCTTCGTGTCGTTTGGCCTCCGGAGCGTCCATGACCACGATGTTTTCGAGGGAGATCGGCCGGGACGGGTCCCACCGCACGAGCATGGGTTTGGTCGGAACGAGGTGCGGCGGGACGACGGACCGCCCGCGATGAATGTCTTCAAACAGGAGCGCGACATCGTCCTCGTCCAGTGGCAGCCGTCTGGCAGGCATGTGAGTTAAGCAACAGCCGGAGGCATAGCAGACAGCTGACGCACGGGGCATTTCCGTTGTTCGCTCCCGCTTTTTCCGCCTCGCGCGTCTGCAGATCCTTCAGCAGCCGTTCGTAGATCTTGCGTCTGTTGCGAATGGGGAGCGGGTTGAGGATCGGCTTGCCCGCCATCTCGCATAGCACATAGCTGGCGATGTGCAGCCCGAAGAGCGATGGGAGCGGACCTGCCGGTGTTGAGCGTTTCATGTATCTTGGAGATGGGGAAGCACATACCAATGACAGGGAGGATGCGTACGCGAAAGTCGTCGAGCACGCCCAGCTCCTTTACTGACCCTTTCTGGAACTCGTCGTCTGGCAGCGGTAGAAGCTTGACGTCCCCAGGCACCTCGGACGAATAGACGACGGGAATCCCGCTGGATACGCCCAGCCGACGCAGGCGTTGACGCACGGCGCGGGCTAGGGGGTCGTAGACTGTAAATGAGATGTCGCTGATGTGCACGCGTGTCGGATCGCACTTTGCGCCGGCACCCATAGAGGAGAAGATCTTGATACCGTTGTCGTGACAGTGTTTCAGCAGATCCACCTTGGTCGTGATGTTGTCGATGGCGTCTTGATATCGAGTAAGGTAGCAGCCCAGGAATCCAGTCCCACGACATACCTATGACCCAGTCTGCTCCTTCCACCAACTTGTCTCCGTCTTCTCCCTTCTTCCACAGCTCGACGCGGCAGTCTATGTCCGCCCAGCGCGCAATCTGCCTCAAGGTGCGCGCGATGCACTTCACTTTTGGGGTGCCGACATCCGCAAGCACGGCGGTAGCATGCCTATTCAATGACGACAGGGTGACCTGGTCGAAGTCGACCAGCCGTATCTTTGATACTCCACTGGAGAGCGCGTGTCAGAAAGTGCAGAGATGCAAGGGGCGGAATGGAAGCCGTAAGAGACAAACGTATACGCACGACCGCACAAGCATCACGGCCGCCCAGCTCCCAACTCCTCCGCACCCCACGACGACCACCGTCTTGCCGCGGATCGCCGCCATACCCTCCTCGCCGAAGAACGCGTAGTTGCGAGCGAGCTGCTCCTGCATCAAGCCTTCGGTATATGCGTACTTTTCGTCGTGGATGCCGTCGTCATAATTGGAGTCATCAGGAGTGGGAAGTTTGCGGCCCTTGGAGGAGGATGCGGAAGCAGAGATCGAGCGCAGGATGTCAGCATTGAGCTCCCGTCTACGTGACCGTCGGGTGTAGGTGGTGTATGCAGTGAACAAAGCAGCGGTCGTTGCGGAGGCGGCGACTGCTGTTGCTATGA